GTGGTCTTTTTTCGCACGTTCTTGCAACGTGAAGCCCAGCAGTTTGAAAGAACTGGAATGGATATAGCTTTCAAATGAGAACACTCAAAGCTCGCAGACGACCAAAAATCTGCTTTCCGGTTTGCGATGGGAGAAGCCTTTCAGCAAAATTTAACCAAATACATATACTTAGGACACGCGTTCAGTTTTTGTTGTTTATTTCAATGGTTGGGTTTATTTGAAAGCCGCTGCAGCATATGAACAAAGACGAACGAAGGATAAAATGCGTATTGAAGAGTAAAAATAACGTCTGCTCTTTCTATTTACCTAGTAACCTTCCAATTACATATGTACTTCAAATTGAACAGGGCTTCCTATTATGAGAAGGAATAAAAGAAGAAATTATTTTTTTTTCTTTCACCGATCGAGTAGTGTGCAGTGTGGTTGAAACATTGAAACCAATTTAAAACTCAGCGCTTTGGGCTATTCATGAATTATGTTTTCTCGTGCACGGTCATTTTCTCCCAAAGAAAAAAATATTTATTCTTTTTTTTTTTTTGTCAGGGATCCGTCATTGAATTAAGTTAGACGTGGCATGAACCAACCTCTCGCACGGGATATGTTTATTAAAATGATACTAATAATCAGGACAACAAACACCGATTTTTGTGTGTATTGTTCCCTTTCGGTTTTTCTTGTCCTCGGTCTTTTCTTTCTCAGTTTCTTTTTCTAAATACAATATTGCATGCTCGAGAAAACAACAAACTACTTTCAAAAATTCCTGCATGCAACACTGCTCGCGTTGCATTATGGGGCATATTTTGCCACAGACAGGACTGGCACGGTTTCGATTTTGATTGCTCCGTCGATGAAGTAGCGCATCACAGCGCTGCATGAAAACAAAGTCAGCGCTCGCTTGAAATGCACTGTTTCATTTTTTGTGAGAGCCCCCGTTTAAAGACAGAGGAGCACAGCCGGCCGCATCCCATAGCTATATTGACGACCTGGCTAGCACTCCAGAGTGCAGAAGGACCTTTCCAGCTCACAGATAACTTAAGAAGCCCATTGATGAGAAGGTGGAACAGGACGGCCTGCCGAGTACTCCTTCTTCCATGTGCCTTCGGAGTCCTGTTTACTTGCGCATAACCCCTGGCACGTCGGGAGACCCCCCAAAAAAACGTGTCCCAGCATTTTATCCCCATTGGTAAACCACATCTACAAAATTGTAAATTTATGGAAATTCACCTATTCGAAAATGCAAGCACTGTATTTGCTCGTGACGGGATGTCGTGAAATGAGGTTGGCAATTCGAAACCGAAACCATGGCCAAGGGGTAGCCAAGATGATTTGTATGGCACTACGCCACCAGGACCACTTCGATTTAGCGACAGGTCTATTTGAGTAGCTTACTTTCAAGCTCATATTTAACATTAACACTCTACCGTTTAAATATAATATTTATCGTAATTCCAAGCACCAAACAAGTTCTCCAGCTTCTTGAGCGGCGTGCTTCTGACGCATAGCACGAATGCATTGCGGGGAAGCAACGTAAGAGTGAATAGTTTGCAAGCATGCGTGCTAGCAGTGCGTGCTGCCGCGTGTCTAGTTTTGTCCTCATGTTTATTTCGTCCCAGCTGCACTACGCGGTGTGCAAAACGACGGTTAGTACCATACATTCTCTCAGCCATTACAGGCGCGAAACTTGAAGCAACAGCAACCACCTGAAGTAGGAAGAATGTTAAAAGTTGAATTATACAAAAAAAGGCTTCTGGATAGTTATTTTTACGACAACTGATGCAATTCTTTGATTTGTGATAGTACTCGCTTTATCTTGCCTATGTTTGTTGCCGACGGCTTCCTGCTCGATCGCTCCCCCTAACGCAGCTGCGCAACTAGGCAAAGCCACCCTTACAGGGCGCGATGGTGAGCAAGTAAGTTTGGGCAAAATATATTTTTTTTCGACTTTGCACGGCATTTTATTTTATAGTGCCTGACTCATTACTCAAATATACGAGAATATCTTGTGCAGCTGTGACGCACCGCATAGTCAAAAGTCGAGATTTGTTTTTATTAACTTTTAATCTTTTGCGAGTGACGCAAAGAGGGATCAAAGACAGTCAAGAGTTTGGATTCGACAAGAAATATTTCTCTTTGTCGTTGGCTGGGTATGATTGGAATATGGTGTTGCTCTAATAATGCGTCTTATGTTAAATTTTCTTTCAAACTTTACGTAGGCTTACGACTGTTTTAATTGCCTTTAGTAGTGGGCGGTCTAATTTACCGACTTCTACACTGCTTAGTGATAACGTCAATAATTTCAGTCGTCAGTTTTTTATTTACCAAGGCACATTAACAACCCTGCTGCTAATTTCCTATTGTCAACTAATCACGTCTCCATTCGAAATGTTTCAAGTGCACACTAAAGGAAACCTTTCTCTCTCAATCGAGTTAGGCATTGCGCATTTTAAGTTAAACCATTATAATTTAGACAGCACCATTCAATGGGTTCTCCAATTTATTATACTCCAAAACCTAGTTTGGTTTGTAATTCTTCGCGTTATTTTATACGAATTTCGCAAACTGAGAAGTTGTAACCACCGAAAAGCGATAGTTGTATCACCTACTTCAGGGGCTAAGCTGGTCAAATGACGGTCAATCATCGGTCTATCCATTGCATCGCCGGGCAGTGTGCATGTAGAGCGGACCTAAAACGAGCACGGTTTGGCACGTTTAGAAAAATTCATATTTCAAACGTAGAAACCTGGAAAGTCCGACGCAAACGTCGTTTTCAGGCATTTTTATGACTCTATCCTTTAGAACTCAACTCAGAGGGGGTGCAATCTTAAAAGGAGCCATGAAACGGCTCCTTTAAGATTGCACCTTTACTTATCGCGTTCGTCAAAATTATTACTTATGGTGATAATCCCGCTCGTCGCCAGCCTCTGTACTATAGCGTTCAGATCGGTTTTGCATACAACATGCTATTCGAGAGCCAGCTCGCGAAGCAGTGAGCAGACGACGAAAAAGCCGTATAAGACAGAGGAAATGAACTTCCGCCGTTTTTGCTTTATTTTTAGACTTACCGCCAAGGTCTAAAAAATATTGACATAACACTTTTTTTTTGTTTTTGCAAAACGACGTTTGCTTGCTCAATTTGAGATATTCACGTTTTGTAATTCAAAGTTTGCGAGGCGCGCCAATAGGGATGGTTCTTGGGACCGCTCCGTGTAGGAATTTTTGAAATTTGAGATTTCAGGTTGCAAGTAACGCCATCTGTGGTCCGTCGATTCTTCCGCTAACTAAACAGTGACTCCAACCTTCTTACGACCGTTTCTCGACCGACCGTTTCTCGTAGATAGCACGTACATACTGCCCGACATTGTCTGCGCGGACAGGGGTGTGCGTTTTTAGCGTTTCACTACGAAAGAGTATTGGAGTTCATTAACCTTTACCCCTAAAGTTAGTGCTGCAGCTGAGCACTTCCCCTCATAATAGTAGCTTTTATAACAGCATCTTGATTTGAAAAATAAAGAAGTTAAAACCATCGATCGCTTGTTCGCGCTAACAGTGTCGCGCAGTGTACATTTGATCTCGGAAATACTGCAGAACATTCACTTTAGTGAATGCAGTGGCGGGACTACATTGTAGATGGCGCCAGCGTGCCATTGTGTTCTCAGAGAGATAGTATTACAGTTTCCAACTGGTTGATCTTGGTCACGTGCTTTGTGTGTTACATTTGCAATACGGGCTGCGAGAAGGTGACGAAAGCATTGGTTGTCTGCAAACGTCTCAGCCTTTCTGCCCGCTCTCCTCCTTGCCAGTCTGTAACGCAGCGCATGCGCACTTACGACCAATCTTCGTAGGAGGCCTGTGCCACTAAATTGCAAATGCTCACTCCCCACGATTTGAGATGGGCCCTGTCTACGATCTAGGCCCTCCATGTGTTGTCAGTGTTCTCTCGTCGTAATGCTGCATAAGGTTGCCCAACGCACTCGATTGCAACCAAACGCAAGTGCGTAAACCAGCCTTAGCAGTTCGTAACCACTGAAGTGTGACATCGTCTCCCGTCCATCATAATAAGCTCGGCTGGATCAAATAAAAAGAAAGTCGAGTTTTTGAGTGCACAGAGCTTCATCATGCGTAGAGGCGTTCTGGAGTAAATCTAATCGCTCCCTCCTAACCGCAAAGGCTCCGCGGCTTAGTGACAACCTTAGATATGTTTAGTAGCTGAGGTGCTTCGTACTCACCACGCCCCGTGTTTCTTAAGCTCTCAGTCAGTATAGGGTGTCCCACGCAGACCTTCCGCTATATAACGAGCCGGGATAATTGGCGTCTGCATATAGGAAACCCCCGCTTTCACCGAATGGCCACTGAGCAGGTCAGTTTTACCTTGCGAAATTTCAAGGCGTAGTGCGCTTCTTATGAAATAAAATCAAAACCTGTGTTGGGCGCGTTCGCAGATGACCGAGTCAGCGACGCTATTTACTTGTGGCGCCATCTCCCGATAAGCGCAGCGAACTGTTGACGCACCCTGTTGCCCACTCGCCGCGCCTATTGGGAGATGGCGCCACAAGTAACCGTCACTAACTTGGTCGTCTGCGAATGCGCCCACCCTTGACATTGGCAAGTTTGTTTGCTCTGTTTTTTATACAGGAAGAGAGCTGCGTCTTGAAATTTGACACTGCAAAACTGACCTGCTTAGTGCACATTCAGTGAAAATTCGAGCTTTCCGGGCGCCGATTTTTACGGCTCGTTATACAGCGGAAGGTCCGCTTGGGACACCATATTCACTCACAACTTAAGGGACAAAGGGCGTGATAAGTAACGAGAACTCATTATCACTCCAAAGCCGGTCAGATTGCAGTATTATCCGATCAAAAACCCGAAGAATGAGTCCCTAAGCAAGAAGCACGATCACAATAAGCTGCGCACTGCTTTTAATAAGCTATCGGTGACTTAATAGTGTGTCGAATGTCTATGTGTCTAATGCAAGGTGTGCACATGTGCTGTGTTTTCCGCAGGGCGCAGCGGCGTGCCCTTCCCCTCGAACGCGGACCGACTCATCGGAAGCGCAGGGGTCGGAGAAGACAGCGCCAAGCTCTGCCTCTCGCCGGGCTGCGTCAACGCCGGTAAGAGCACGCTGCATCAGATCCCGTGAGGGATCACTCTAGCCTCAGATGACGGCAACTTCCTAAAGCATTCATTTACCCTCTCCGATTTTCCCTTGAGAGTAAATAAAAGAGCGCAAAAAGGACACAAGGATAAGTGGAAACACAAACAAGCACAGCCCTGACTTTCGACTGTCGTTGTCCTTTATAACAAAATACATCGGCACTCTGTTCGTGCGTTACACCTGTCAATGTTTTTTTTTTTTTTTAAATTCTTTTGCACTCTTTCGTTTCGTCTCATAATTCACCAATTTTTTTTAAATTGCACACCTTAATACCGATTGCCTTTGAGAGCCATGCTATCTTGTATCGCCCGCAGTCTTCCAATACTGACTCCAAACAAAGCTGAGGGCTGGAGGGCTATAGAAGAAAACGAACGCTTCAGAAATGAGAAGTCGTGTCAATGGGTGCAAGAAGTTTAGGTCTACGAAATGTTTAACGGTCTGAGTTAATGTTACCGAGAAATTACAGATTATGAGGCAAGCGATATTCTGTGAGTCTAAATTGCACGTATTCGTGCATGGTTTCTTAGTAGAGTGACCAGACGTCCCGTTTTGGCCGGGACAGTCCCGTCTTTGAGGTCCGCTTCTGCCGTCCCGTCTTTTTGTCCCAATAAAGAATCATGTCCCGTTTTCGGGACATAATTTTATTTGTATATATAAGTGCTCAGACTTTTACGACCGAGTTTTGCAGGATAAAGTACTGCTTAGGAAACTTCAGTCGTCGGCAAAATGCGTTCACACCAAAGAAAGACGCGAAGCAGTATGACTGTTCCGTAGACCCTAGGGGTTAGTGCAATATGGTAACGTTTCGAAATGAGAGCAGTTATTTCATTAAATTTTTTTTCTCCCAATCTCAATCTTACAACCCCCCCCCCCCCCTCCCCTCCCCTCCCCCCGTCCCGCTGGGATGTCCCGTTTTCTACCTTGAGGAATATGGTCATCCTATTTCTTAGTATACCTGAATAGGTACTTCAGAGTTCTAAAACCACTAGTTAGTAGTTGCACCAATATTAACGAGCGAAAAACTCTGACAGACGTTTCTTCCGGGTATGAAAAATAGAAATTAGCGGATATTTGTTCGAACTGAGCAGCACTTTGCCATTCATAGCCTTCACATTGACAGGGAAAGCCACCGACTACAGGCTCTCTTAACATCTTCGAAGCTAAGAACGACCCAGCGCTATTCTACTCGAACCACTGTTCGCACACTTCTAACTAAAAAGCGCACTGGCAATGCTGTTAGGCTTTATAAATATCATTCATCAGAAGCGTTCAAGAGCATTGCAGTTGGAGATCCATTCAAGCGCAGTCCCTTGGATACTGGCATTAAGCGCGTGCAGTCTCAATATTCGCACACTAGTTGCCCGGAGTGCTGTGGAAGCCACGGACAGGAGAAAGAGAAGAAAGCCCCTATTTTGCGAATACTAGCCCCTTCCGCTAAAGTTCTCCGCTCTTTCCACTTTAGCATAGAGAACGCCGAGTCTCCCCTCTCGTCCAGCGTTCGCACTTCTAAAGTAGAAATGGTGAAGGGCTTTGTGCGGAGGAGCTTGTCTTGGTGTCTTTACTTGCAACAGACTATAGTGGGCTAAAGTATAGGTAGTCCCTCGCAGAGCGCTGAAATGGAGTCTGTTCACTCATAGCCTGCTAAATTGTCCCATAGTACTTGTTGACATAAATGTGACATTTATTGGCCAGCGACGCCATCGCGTCAAAACGTTGTCAACCAGGCAGCTTTCTGCTGCAGGTGGAAGCTCTTGACTAGCTATTGACCCTACGGTCATAGGATAGGGATGCTGCGCCATTACGTTGGTATTAGACAGGAAAGACCGACAGCCTGACTGCAGCTGCTTGCTTCCTTCTGCGCAGCGTCCACCCTGCTCCAGAACATGAACCAGAGCGTGGACCCGTGCGAGAACTTCTACGAGTTCGCGTGCGGCGGCTGGGTGCATCGGCACCTCATTCCGGAGGACAAGTCTTCGCTGTCCCAGTTCTCCCTTATCCAGGACCAACTGGACGCTAAACTGCGCACGCTGGTCGAGGAGCCGCCGCAGGACTCCGAGCCAGGCTTCATCCACAAGATGAAGCACATGTACCGGTCCTGCTTCAACACCAGTCTTATCGACTCGTACGCCGAGGAGCCTCTGCAGAAGGTTCTGAAGGTGCTCGGAGGCTGGCCTGTGGTCGAGGGACCCGGATGGAACGCGTCCAAGTTCCACTGGCTGGACGCGCTCATACAGTACCGCAACTTCGGCTACAGCCATGACATTCTGCTCGACCTGTCTGTCATCCCGGACTTCCGCAACAACACGCGGTACATCATCGACGTAAGCAAAACCGGTCTCTGGCAAATGTCCAGGTCGCCTGTCGTATCGCTGCTTAACTTTCACCTGCGTCCCGGTGGCAGCCTCGAAGTTTGCCATATACGCGTCAAACAAGTGACCAAACACGTATAGTGGGCAAGCAACTACAAGCGCAGAAATGTCTGGCTTTGGTCAAAATTTTTTATTTTAATGCCAATTCTGTCATAGTGCGGTCAAACTCGCAAACGTTAATGATTGTTGCAATCAAACATTTACAGAGGTGTTGCAGATTTTTACGCGGGAAATTCTGCATCGGCCATATCAGCTACAGTGCGAACATAAGAAACTTCGAGACATTTAACTAGCGCCCAGGGCGTATTCAAAGATGCTAGAACCGGGTGCCTGAAGTCATTGTGGAAGAAAAAATTGTTGTAGACCCGGTTCTCGTGCCCATATATGGCAGATATTCAAAACAAACATAGAAAGTAAGACAAAAACAAATACAATTATTTTTGTTTTTGGTATAATGCCAGGCTACTGAGTTTAAACAGAAATCCAAAAACAACCAGCATGGGGCGATAATTGTCTTCCCGGTTTTCACTCACCTGCCATTAAAATGACTCAGGTAATCAGTGTATATATGATGGTTTAAATTGTAAGTATGCTGACCAAAGCTGCTCAACATCTGTATATAGCTCCATAAAAAAAAAAAAAGAAGCTTTCGGGAGCTCTTGTTGCACAAAGGGGTTTCGTGCCACAGTGGCCAGAATGCGTGAAGCTTAATATACTTGTGAATAGGCCTCGAGCATGCACTATACTGCCACCGCTGATATGTTATGTTGAATTCAGCTTGGTTGAATGTCACTGCCAATGCTACCGTTGTTTTTGTCATTTCGTGTCAGACTGTGTTTTGCGTAATTGGCTGCCCAAGACACAAGACGATTTTCATAAAGCGTGGCTTCTCTACAGTAGAGTTTTAGAAACCGTAGAGACCGAAACAAATTAAAGCTTAGTGAAGTAAATTCGGAAGACAAAATGAAGGAGTCATGTTCGCCTAGCTGGTTGTCACAAGACTGAGCGTTTATTCGTCGTCGTCGTCGTTTTGCCTTATTTTTCGGCGCGGCCGATCTTGATAGATCGGCGGTTTAGAGTAAAAGAAGAAAACAAAAACAACTTCGGTCAGCCGCGTGAACCGCAGCGCGTGCAGCGTCATTCGCTCCCCAACACTCCTTTCCCCTTGTAGAAGAGACGTGATGGCGAGCGACGACTTCGCGTTGATCGTCGCGGAGTTGGAGGCACGGATGTTGGTACCGCCTCAGGTGGGACGGTCTCGAGAGCGGGGTCTGGCGCGGAAGCCGCCTCAGGTGGGACAGTCTCGGAAGCGGGTGCTGGCGCGGGAGGCTCAGTAGCTGCGTCACCGGGATCACGACGGCGAAGCTGGTCGGCGTGGCGCCGGTGGTCCTTGCCATCGCCTGGGGACTGAACTTGTACCAGGCGGGAACCAGTTGTTGCCTTTACGATTCCGGGGCTCCACTTGTCGCCAGGACCGTAGTTTCGGAACCACACTGGCTGACCTGGGCGAAAGGGACTAGCTTCCGATTGACTGCAAGGAGTGGGTAATGGAGGCAAGGCGGCGTCCAGACGTGAACGTATATCGTAGCCGAGTAAACGCTGAGATGGGGAACAACCGTCTTTGCCGGGTGTACGACGATACTCATGCAGAAATCGCGCTAGTCGTGTCACCATACTGCCCCTGCTCAGCCGTTGGAGCCCTTCTTTTACAGTGCGGACGGCTCGCTCCGCGAGTCCGTTTGATTGGGGGAAATAGGGAGGCGAGAAAATGTGTCGGATATTGTTCCGCTCGCAAAATCGTTGGAACTCGGCGCTTACGAACTGGGGCCCATTATCGGAAACCACAGTCCGTGGTATTCCGAATCGGCTGAAGATAGAGCGTAACGCGGACGTGGTTGCTTCCCCTGACGTGCACTTGAGTGGAACTGCTTCAATCCACTTGCTATGAGAGTCAACGAGAACTAACAACATGAACCCGTCTATTGGGCCGGCGAAGTCCACGTGCACTCTCGACCATTTCTCGTTCGTCTCCGGCCATGGCACAGGATCTCTTGCCGGTGGGGCTGGAGAAACTTGGGCACATTTCGTGCACTGACTGACCATACGCTCCAGATCTTGGTCAATTCCAGGGTACCATATAATGGACCGAGCTAACGCCTTCATGGCCGATGCGGCGCGGTGGCTTTCATGCAAGAGAGCAAGTACAGTCTTCCGAGCCCTTTGTGGTATTACGACTCGAGATCCCCAATATACCAAACCGTGCGAGGTGGTTAGTTCGCTCCGCCTTTCCAGGAATGGCTTTAGGGTCATTTTCCCGTTATGACTCTTCTGAGGCCAGGACCCACTTTGAACCCACTTTTGGACCTGCCTTAAGTCATTGTCTTCAGCCGTCAGCCGCTGCAGGTCTGCCGTTGAAACGAAGTTTTCATCGAGCTGCTCCATCAGAAGAACATACTCCGACAGCTCCTCGGTTGATGATTCACCTTCCCTTGAGCACGGCAGCCGGCTGAGAGCATCTGCATTCAGGTTCTCAGTTCCTTTTCGGTACACCAGATCGAATGAATAAGCCCGCAGTAACAACGACCAACGCTGTATGCGAGCGGCGGCCATCGATGGGATTGGCCGATCCGGACGAAAAAGGCCAATCAACGGCTTGTGATCGGTGACCAACGTGAAATGGCGGCCCAGCAAGTACTGCCGGAACTTTGTTACTCCAAAAACCAGAGCTAAAGCCTCCCTTTCGAGATGAGCGTAATTACGCTCGGCTACGGATAGCGTACGTGAACGAAACCCGATCGGTCGATACTCGCTTCCAACCTTAATGGACAATACCGCCCCAATGCCATAAGGCGAGGCGTCACACTCCACTCTTAGAGGCTTGCTGGGGTCAAAGTGAGCAAGAAAATTTGCGTTTTTCAAAGCTGCTTTGCTACCTTCGAAAGCCTTGTCGGCGGCGCCAGACCACTGCCACTTTTGGCCTTTCACTAGCAGTGCATAAAGCGGAGCTAACAGGGTCGACATGTTCGGCAGGAACTTGCTGTAATACGTTATGAGACCGAGGTAGGACCTCAGTTCCGAAACGTTCTGCGGTCTAGGGGCTTGCATGATTGCTTCCATGTTCTCTTCCTTGGGATGAAGACCTGCGGCATCTATTTTGTGACCCAGGTAATTGACTTCTTTCTGACGGAACTTACATTTGTCCCTGTTCAACCTGACCCCGTACTCCCGCAGCCTTTGTAGCACTTGCCGCAGCGTTGACTCGCCATGTTTCTCGGCTACCAGAACGTCGTCCAGGTAAACTTGTACTCCATGGAGATCTTTCAAAATGGACTCGATTCTGCGCTGGAAGACGGCCGGTGCGGATGCGATGCCGAATGGCAATCTATTGTAGCAAAACAACCCCTTGTGCGTGTTGATCACGGCCAACTGTCTCGCGTCTTCGTCAAGGCAAAGCTGGTGATACGCGTTTTTCAAATCCAACGTGCTGAAGACCTCACCACCACGAAGAGATGCAAATATGTCTTCGATAACAGGCAATGGGTACTGTTCGGTATGACATGCCGCATTTACCGTGAGCTTGAAATCCCCACAGATTCTGATGTCACCACCCTTTTTAACGACCGGCACTATCGGGGCAGCCCAAGCAGAATAGGGCACGGCAGATAACACGCCCTCGGCCACTAAGCGATCCAACTCATTGGATACCTTATCGCGTAGCGCGTAAGGTACAGGCCTTGCTCTCGCGAACCTGGGTTGCGCGTCTGGGCGTACGAGCAGACTCACCGGCGGGCCTTCCACGGTTCCAAGTCCAGGCTCAAACAGATCCGAGAACTCCTCGAGTAGCTTTTGAAGGTTCCGATCGTCCATTGGTGCTCCGGGTCCGGCGGCAGGAGTGGAAGTAGGCGTTCTAGCGCCTGAAAGACTGAGGACAGGAACTCCGCGAGCATTCATGTCAGTAATCAGGTCCCGGCCACACAAAGAAGGACCTGAACAGCCGAGCACAATAAGACTACCCTCTGTAGTCTTGTCCTGGTACTTCACGCGCATGTTCAGCTCGCCTAACACTGGCAATGTTCCAAGGAAACACGACAAACGAACAGACGTTTTCTGAAGTTTCGGCCAGGAGTTTCGGTACTTGTGGTAGACGTCTTGGGGAATTGCGCTCACGGGAGACCCTGTGTCTACGAGCATCTTGAGGGGCACGCCGGCCCAAACAAACTTTCGTATTACTGGTTCTACTAAACCAACCAAGTTGTCAGACCTAGCGTGAGAACATTGGAGCGTAAACAAGCTTCCTTCCTCGCCTGATAAGCTGTCGCTGTATTCGACGGCGTTCATTCCAGGTTCGTGGTTGGCTTTGAATCCACGGCCCCCTTTCCTGGGAGTAGTAAGGTCTCGGCAACACCTGGCAATGTGCCCAACCCGACCACAGTGATGACACGAGGCTCTGTTAAATTTGCACGATTCCGCGTCGTGCGTGGAGCTTCCGCAGCGTGAGCAGGCTAGCGTCGTACGCCTCCGGGAGCGCTGAGGAAGTGGCGATCGGCGATGTGGGCCTTGTGTAACCGCGTTGATATCGGACTCCGGCGTCGGCTTCATGGCTGCGATGTTTACGGTAGCGGATTCCGCGGCGAGCACTATGTCCTCGGCCACTTGTAGCGTTAAGTCTCTTTTCGTGAGCAGCAACTTCCTTACATCTTCGTTGGTGATTCCGCGGACTATGCGATCACGGAGAAGGCGTTCGCGAATGTCCCCGAAGTTGCAGGTCTCGGCTAGACGGCGAATCGCGACGAAGTATTCCGGGACGGTCTCGTCTGGCTTCTGATCTCTTTTAAAAAACTTGAAGCTCTCAGCGATTTCGTTCAGTTTCGGTGCGTAGTACGTTCCTAAGCGCTCCACGACTTCGGTATATGTAAGCGAATTGACCGCTGTCGACGAACTGGACGCTTGCAAGACTTCAATTGTCTTTGAACTTAAGGCGGACACGAGCAACGCTCGTTTCTGCACCGCGTCGGTCACTGCATTCCCCTCGAAGAACGCTTCCAAGCGTGTCAAATAGGTGGTCCACTTATCTGATCCCTCGTTGAACTGGGGAACAGAGAAGGCCATGGTGTGCTTGGTCGAGGTGGGTTGACCGGTTTCAGACATTGGGTTCATCCTCGTCGCCAATGAAGTAAATTCGGAAGACAAAATGAAGGAGTCATGTTCGCCTAGCTGGTTGTCACAAGACTGAGCGTTTATTCGTCGTCGTCGTCGTTTTGCCTTATTTTTCGGCGCGGCCGATCTTGATAGATCGGCGGTTTAGAGTAAAAGAAGAAAACAAAAACAACTTCGGTCAGCCGCGTGAACCGCAGCGCGTGCAGCGTCATTCGCTCCCCAACACTTAGAAACCTTCTGAGTTGAAAAATCGAAAATGAAATTCGCTTTGGGACACTGATAGCATTACGTCTGATTTTCCAGATGTGCTAGGACCGTACACACTAAAAAAAAAAAAAAAAGCCCGTGCGTCTACTTTACCGCACAACACTCGGAGAGCCAATCACCGCAACTTACGGAGGCAGCTTAGCGAATGACGATACCGGAACACATGTTTTGTCCAAAAAAGGCAGTTTGAGTTGTGACATTAAGCAATGCAAGCGTGACGTTTTGCATTGCTTAATGTCACAGCTCAGACTGCGTTTTTTGGTCTAAACATTTGTCTTGGCATCATCATTCACTGAGCTGCCTCCGTAAGTTGCGATGATTCGCTCGCCGAGTGTTGTGCGGAAAAGTAGACGCACCGTTTTTTTTTTTTTTTTTTTTTTAGGGTTTAGTGACTTTGGTTTGAAAATCATGAATATTTTTGAGGTTCATCGTCCGCTCGGCTTCCTCCATTGATCACAGCCCTTAGTTTTCCATGACTTCTGCTAAGAAATAGACGCACGAATGTTATCTATGTTGAGGTTTCACGTAATATATATCTGGCTCGAAGTCTCTCCGGGTGCGATGTTGATTAACATTATTTCTGTCTTCCTAAGCGCGAAGGAAATTTTTTACAGGCTGCTCTAGTTTTTTAACATTATGATTGACTGCACCAGCAGAGTAGTAGGCAACATGAAAGAGCATTGGCTGCTAGTCGAGTCTATACATTCCCCTTTTTATTTGGACTTAAAACGATTCGGCGATCGAGAAGTCGACCCGTCGGTAACCAGAATGGCTCCGGCATAGGTGCCGTCGAGGTGACTTCGCACAAAATAAAAGCGAAGTAAGCATGTGTTTATGTATTTAAAAAACATCCGCGGTCGCACTTAGCGATTTAATTCGTCGAGGGAGCGACTCGTTTTACTTGTGCACTTCACCAACACCATAAAATAAGGCCAATAACTGAGGGCCTGCATGCAAACCAATGGGGAAAATGGCGGATGCAGTTTATCAACATGGCGGAACGCGGTTTTCCTGAAGTGAGCGGGCATTTCGTGAAACCGCCCTACAGTGTGTGAGATGAATCTGGAACGAACTGAATGTTAAAAATGAATTCTTCGCCGCGCTTGCAGTTGGATCAGACGTCCCTGGGGCTCCCGGATCGCACCTACCTGCTCAAGGGGCTGAACGACAGCGCCGTGGCGGCCTACCTGAAGCTCATGACGGAGGCCGCCCAGTTGCTCGGTGCCGACAAGAAGTCAGCAGAGGCCGAGCTCCGGGAGGCGCTCCAGTTCGAGACCACGCTGGCCAACGTGAGCGGCGCCTGCCTCCATGCCTGAGTCTCAGTATAGACCGTTGTTGTGTGACGGCTGCCACGTTGAAAAAGGACTTGGTTGTGTTGGGCGACAGATAATTAAGTAAAGCCCCGTACATATGAGTGACCAAAAGAGGCGTCGGGCGGCGGTTTTCATCGCAACTGCCGCGGACACTGTGACATAACTGCATGGCACACGTCCACGTCACAACGTCTGTGGCGGTTGCTATGGCAACCGCCACGCGACGTCTGATTTCTTCGCTCAGGTGTTTAGGCAGAAATGTTGCACTAACGGTCCGTACCAGGTGCAAAGATTTCAGATCTTGGCGTTATCTAGTCCAAAAGTTACGAGCGATTTTCGGAAATTTTCAATGTGAAAATGGCGGCCGACGAACCCCACGAATGTATGCTAAATGACTTCAGCTACAGGGAACGCGGCTCCAATTTTCTCATCAAATTTTCTGAAAAGTGCGTATATAGCTTTTGAGTAAGATAACGGTTAGTTCTGAAACTTTGACATCTGGTTCAAACCCCCAACTATATGGGGTAGAGACTATAAGCCTTCGGCGATACACAGTTTATATTTGCGGTGAGATAAACACTGTACATATATTTTAGGAGACACGCCGTAACATAGAAATATGAATAACTGGAAAAAAATTAAAACTATAATGTACACTCTAAAAAAAGTTCATGCGTCTGCTTTCCAACACAACACTCGGAGAGCCAATCACCGCAACTTACGAAGGCAGCTCAGCAAATGACGATGCCGAAACATACGTTTAGACAAAAAAACGCAGTCTGAGTTGTGACATTAAGCAATGCAAAACGTCACGCTTGAATTGCTTAATGTCACAACTCAGACTGTGTTTTTTGGTCTAAACATATATTTCGGCATCGTCATTGGCTGAGCTGCCTTCGTAAGTTACGGTGATTGGCTCTCCGAGTGTTGTGCGAAAAGTAGACGCACGGGTAGTTTGTAGAGTGTGCCTACTGGTAGGTTCAGCAATGCAGGGTGTGGCTGATTATGTTCACGCTTCGCGATTGGCTCTTGGGCGTTCTTATCGCTCATGCCGCAATTGGTCTGTCTGTCGATCAACAATAATCTGCTCGGGACCCGCCACACTCTAAAAAAAGCTTGTGCGTCTACTTTCACGCACAATTCTCGGAGAGTTAATCACCGCAACTTACGGAGGAAGCTCAGCGAATGACGATGCCGAAACATACGTTTAGACCAAAAAACGCAGTCTGAGTTGTGACATTAAGCAATGCAAAACGTCACGCTTGAATTGCTTAATGTCACAACTCAGACTGTGTTTTTTGGTCTAAACATATATTTCGGCATCGTCATTGGCTGAGCTGCCTTCGTAAGTTACGGTGATTGGCTCTCCGAGTGTTGTGCGAAAAGTAGACGCACGGGTAGTTTGTAGAGTGTGCCTACTGGTAGGTTCAGCAATGCAGGGTGTGGCTGATTATGTTCACGCTTCGCGATTGGCTCTTGGGCGTTCTTATCGCTCATGCCGCAATTGGTCTGTCTGTCGATCAACAATAATCTGCTCGGGACCCGCCACACTCTAAAAAAAGCTTGTGCGTCTACTTTCACGCACAATTCTCGGAGAGTTAATCACCGCAACTTACGGAGGAAGCTCAGCGAATGACGATGCCGAAACATACGTTTAGACCAAAAAACGCAGTCTGAGTTGTGACATTAAGCAATGCAAAACGTCACGCTTGAATTGCTTAATGTCACAACTCAGACTGTGTTTTTTGGTCTAAACATATATTTCGGCATCGTCATTGGCTGAGCTGCCTTCGTAAGTTACGGTGATTGGCTCTCCGAGTGTTGTGCGAAAAGTAGACGCACGGGTAGTTTGTAGAGTGTGCCTACTGGTAGGTTCAGCAATGCAGGGTGTGGCTGATTATGTTCACGCTTCGCGATTGGCTCTTGGGCGTTCTTATCGCTCATGCCGCAATTGGTCTGTCTGTCGATCAACAATAATCTGCTCGGGACCCGCCACACTCTAAAAAAAGCTTGTGCGTCTACTTTCACGCACAATTCTCGGAGAGTTAATCACCGCAACTTACGGAGGAAGCTCAGCGAATGACGATGCCGAAACATACGTTTAGACCAAAAAACGCAGTCTGAGTTGTGACATTAAGCAATGCAAAACGTCACGCTTGAATTGCTTAATGTCACAACTCAGACTGTGTTTTTTGGTCTAAACATATATTTCGGCATCGTCATTGGCTGAGCTGCCTTCGTAAGTTACGGTGATTGGCTCTCCGAGTGTTGTGCGAAAAGTAGACGCACGGGTAGTTTGTAGAGTGTGCCTACTGGTAGGTTCAGCAATGCAGGGTGTGGCTGATTATGTTCACGCTTCGCGATTGGCTCTTGGGCGTTCTTATCGCTCATGCCGCAATTGGTCTGTCTGTCGATCAACAATAATCTGCTCGGGACCCGCCACACTCTAAAAAAAGCTTGTGCGTCTACTTTCACGCACAATTCTCGGAGAGTTAATCACCGCAACTTACGGAGGAAGCTCAGCGAATGACGATGCCGAAACATACGTTTAGACCAAAAAACGCAGTCTGAGTTGTGACATTAAGCAATGCAAAACGTCACGCTTGAATTGCTTAATGTCACAACTCAGACTGTGTTTTTTGGTCTAAACACATGTTTCGGCATTGTCATTCGCTGAGCTGCCTCCGTAAGTTGCGGTGATTGGCTTTCCGAGTGCTGTGCGGGAAAGCAGACGCACGGGATTTTTTTAGAGTGCATGCGCTCCGTTCCACAAGTTGTCAGCGGTTAGGGTGGAACCAACCCCTAGAATTCTAGCGTCTTCTAATTGTCAAATAAAGTTTGTTGGTATTTTGCCCATTTGCCCCAACGCAGCTACGTCCAAATTCGACATGGCGGCCGTCAAGAAACATCAGTTCCATACGCACGCTCAGAAATGCCACCGTATTCATTTCATACTGACGCACTCTGCCCTTGAAGAAACATCCATTCATCTTCCTCTTAAAAGCGGCAAAAGGCACCCATCCGTTTTTGTTACTAAGAGTTATGATCACAGTTTACTATACTTCGTTTTAAGACTAGACGCAGCCGACGCTGCGAGCTGATGGGACCAATCAGACGGCATCAAAAGCGCACTTTCTCGCTGTTCGTCACGTTACTGTACGTGTTCTATTATCGCTGAACCAATTACAAACAGAAAAGTCCTAGGGACTTGTGCTTTTGACGATGTTTGATTGGTCTCATTACCTCGTTCCGTCGGCTGCGTCCAAACTTATTAAGAAGTATAATCAATGCGATTGTGCTAAATATTCTACGTCATCTCCGGAGGCCAGCGCGGGGCGCAAATTGGACACGAGTCGCTGTGGAACGCTGACACAGAGCTCGCGTCCGACTTGCGCCACGCTCTGGCCTCCGGTATGTTACGTCACACATCCAGCAGTGCGGCCTTGTCATCAGGATGTGTTGGTTAAAGTTAGGTAAGGCTCGTCCTTTTCACTGGCTAGGCTGATTAAAGGAAGACCGGCTCCTGATACTTAAAGAGTACTTTAGTACCTATAGACCGACACGCGGGCTTGACGTCACGGCGCTGCGGCGGCGCTGCGATCGCGCCGGAGCCGGGGGGTGTGGGCAAAAGCGCGCACGTTTCGCATGAGCGTCATAGCATTTCAGCATGCCGCGAAGCTGTGTTGCCGTTAATCTCACCGAAATGTACAAGAAAAGTAGCGGAGTGAGCTTCTACAAGTTCCCGGCAGACTCTGAAAGGCATAGAAGGTGGATAATATCCGTGGATCGAAAAGAATGGTCGCCTCGCGCGTTTGTGCGGCAAGCACTTTCTTGGAGTCAAGTGCGGCTTCCATTTCAGTCTTCGTCCCGATGCTTGCTTATGTACAGGGAAACCGTCCTCTGATCGAGATTACCCGGATTTTGTTCCCACGGTGTATGCGCACAAAGCACCGGCCAAGCGCTCGTCGGAGGCTCGCTACGCCCGTGTTACCCAGCAGAAGGGGATCGGCGACAGAACGGCAGTGTGGTAGGCGTTACCAAAATATAAGTAACGAAATACGTTACTCATTACTTGCAAATCAACGGTACGCGTTACTGAGCGACGTTGCCTAAAAATAAAAGGAACGCGTTACCGCTACCGATAAAAAGTAAAGCATGTTACTTCTGCGTTACTTTTTTAAATTATGATTTAACACGTTTTACGGTTTTGAAGATACAGGTATGCATAAGCTCATATATCAAGAAACGTTATGTTCATGCAGAAACAGAACATAATTACTTTATCTCTTTTTACGGTTTCACCTAAATACTGACGAGAAAAAACGCAAAGAAAAACATGGCTTGATGCCTAAAAACACGGAAAAACTTGAAGTGTGATTGCAGTAATGAGTAACGTAACTACATTACTTGAAATAGTAACGTAAGTACGTTACCCGTTACTGTGTCGAAAAATACTATAGTAGGTTACTACGTTACTGAAAAAAGTAACGTGTTCCTGGTAACGCCGTTACTTGTTACGTGTTACCGCCAAGACTGCAGAACGGACAAAGCGTTACTGCTTGTAATGCCTTGTGCACATGTGGTCATGAGAGTAGGAAAAATAGCATACCTTGACTTGAAGACGCTGTGTATATTTATTTAATTAATAAATATACTTCCGCAGACCCACAGTCTGCTGATCCCGCCGACAGTACGGAAACCGACTCGAAGTAATCGTAGGCCTCGAGAGACTTGTATGCCTGCTCCGTGTCGTCCGTGAACTGGCTTGGCGAAAAAACGAAATAAACGACGACGTGAGCCGTCGACTTCGGTGGCAGCAACATCACGTCGGAAGTCCAGCAGGGCTGCTTGTTTACGGCGTACGGATCCTCGTAGGCAACGCCGTCCACGCATAGTCTGTTTTGATAACGCCGCCGTTCAGGCTCGGGTAGCAAGCTCAAATAGTCGGGCATAGCATACGACATACGTTGCCAGGAAATGAGATCACAAATAAAGCTAGAAGCGTCCCTACAACGTCAACAACGAGCGCGGCCACACAACGCAATGGCGAAAACACGGAGGGCCGAATCGCGTTTGCCCACATAGCTACCGCGCATGCGCGGCCTTCCGGCCGTGTTGGTAAACAGAGCCGCTCCGCGTGTCGGTCTATAACTCCGCGACAACTTTTCTTGGCAATGCAGTGGAAGGTACAGGCCCGCGTCCCCTCGCCCATTTTTGAGTGTACGCAGGCTCTTCTCCTCCCCCATTTCTGGGGAGAGGAGGAGAGCCCGCACACACTCAAAATGGGAGAGGGGACGCGGCCTGTACCTTCCACTGCATTGCCAAGAAAAGTTGTCGCTGACGATAGTCCTGTATGTAAAATTCAGCGAGCACGGAGAAGCGATTAGTCGCCTTATATATACTTCGTTTCACTTCGAGTGCGAGCGAAGCAGAAGCTACAAGAGCGAGCTACAGGCTTTCATAGTCTGCCGAGCACATGCGCTAGGGCAGTGCAAGTAACATTCGGCGCAGCATACTCCTGCTTGCAGGTTCGGTTTTGGTCGGACATACAATGAAGCGAACTGTAATGATCCCCTTCTTTTTATTTTGCAGTATTCGTTGCCACGCGAAGAAAGGCGCAACATAAGCAGGCTGTACAACAAGATGCCCCTGTACGAGCTCAAGAAGCTCGCACCACAGGTACGTGCGAGAGGTTTCGGAGACGCTTGTCTTATAAGTCGGTAGTCACAGAATTGGTGACGCCAGCGAAATCATAGGATGAGATAGTCAAAGCAGGAAGCTGAGGAAATAGTCCGTTCGCGGGCGTGGCGAACGTCAACAACACCTGGCGGCTAAACATAAAGAAGTGGACAAAGGTTGGAAAACACTTTGCTAAATCCGTCCCATTGATTTTAACGAAAAACTTAACTAAAACTCTTTGTGCATAAATAAGGCGACATAACGCTGTTTTTTTTTTTTGTCATAATCTGCTCCGCGTTTGTGGCTTTAATGTGACCAATAATTTTAGTGTCGATACCTATTGAAGGTAGCCACCAGACGTGTACGAAAAGCGTTGAATGTAGCGCTCTACTTCTACCTATTTACTTTTTTCGGTAACAAAGTGCACACTCAAAAAGCCCTTGCGTGTACTTTCCCGCACAACACTCGAAGAGCCAATCACCGCAACTTATGGAGACAGCTCAGCGAATGACGATGCCGAAACATATGTTTAGACCAAAAAATGCAGTATGAGTTCTGATATTAAGCATTGCAAGCGTGACGCTTTGCATTGCGTAATGTCGCAACCCAGACTGCGTTTTTTCGGTCTAAACATATGTTTCGTCATCGTCATTCGCTGAGCTGCCTCCGTAAGTTGCGGTGATTGGCTCTCCATTTCAGTATAGCCACAGTTATCTCTGAATGAACGCGGAAAGCAAGAAATTATTAACGACGACAAGTATTAAAAGCGGCTACTCCTTCATTAAAACGACAGATCCACAGTGACGAGAAAAAAACGCGTTACTTTCAGAGTGAGGTAACGCGTTCCTTCTGAATCGCAGTAACGTGTAACATCCTTAGTTACATTTCGAGTGAATAACGAGTAATTATATTTAGCCACTTTATTTCAGTAACGCCTATATGTCTGCCAGTATCTCAGTAATAAATAATTGATCGCACATTTTTAGCGTTTGAATGTCTATACGATTTTATAACTTCCTAAAAATGTTCGAAATTTAAAGCGAACTATAAAAACCTTCTGCTCGCCGCAAAAACCTATAGCGACGAAAGACAACCGCGTGGAAACTTTCCTCCGAAAACCGCGGTCTCCACATCCGCTATAAGGTTGACCCACTTTATCCCAGAACACTCAATTCCAGAACAGTTCATCCGGACACTTCATACCAAAGATATCTCAACTCAAGATGTTTCATATCCCAAGGCGCTTCGTCCCGAGACTCTTCGTCCCATAGGAATTTCATCCGAGGGACATTCCATAACCGGATATTTTGTACCCTTCTACTGGCCCCATCCCATCTCTTCCCAGGACACCTCATCACGTTGCACTTATCCCGGACTTCTCATACCAACATTATTTCATACCGGAACAATTAATTCCAGACCCCTCACTCCAAAGTGGTTTCATCCCAAAATAATTTTTTTCCAGACATCCATTTCTTTGGAAATTTAATGCAATGACTCACACCAGATTAATTCGGTACCCTGTATACACCCGTTATGAGTCGTTGGGCGTTATTTAATCTTTATACAAGCAAACCCGCCACCTTTAGAGTGAAAAAGGCTCCTCGCCACTGGTTCTACCCACGAATATGAAGCCACTGGTTAGTTTAGTTTTAAACAAAGTGGGCATCTCTGAATAACGAGATATAGCTTTTACTAGACACAAAAGCCTAATGACACTTGCCCATAACACAGAAAAAAACCAATACACTCAAGAATCACTAAGAACATAGCACAAGCACGCCTTGAGCAAGCCGTCAGCGTCTTGGTTGTCGTAATCATCAAGAATTCGTCGGAGAAGCTGGTTTTATTGATCGTACTTCTTTGTGTAACGATGGCTTGAATCCCACGTCGAGCCGGATTGCTATGGTGTTCACACTGAATTACTCAGAAAGAAGGGCATTGAATAGCTTGAAGACTATAGAATGGGAGGCACCGAGACACTTTTCAAATACTCTGTGCCAACTTTCAACTCCTTTATTCGTCCCAAGGAATCCCTCCGTCACGTGCTTGCAAATTCCACCTTGGACTTTTGTGATTCCGACCAACCCAGGTATTCTCAAAGTAATCTACAAAGTCTTAGTGCTGCTCCGTTCGTTCGAACAATTCCAGCAACTGTTTGACGAGGAATCTGACGTTGCTAACGTCGGAAACATCACGAAACCATAATGTAATGGATTTCTTTAGCATCAGGTAATAGTTAGATTTGGCAATAAATTCTGTATACACGTCAAGCTCTAGAATTTGGCGCGAGATGCTTTGTGCGACATGAAACAGGGATCCACGGACCTCGACACCAGGAAAGTATTCGCGAAATAGGTTTTCTTTAGCATTTTTTTTAGCCTTTTCGAAACCCATGCCAATGAGCAGTCAACGACACCAAGTAGCAGGCGCGTTGTTCACTTATAGGTTGCTTAGCGATTATCTGCCAAAAGGCAACAGACAAGGGGAAGCACCCTTCTTCATAGAGCCTGTGAAGAACCCAGAGCCGATAAAGCATTTCCGGCTTTCAATGATCCATCGCACAGCCAGGTTTTGCACGCGTTTAGGCGGCTCAGATTTGTGTTAGAGGCAAAAATAATAGTTTCCGAGTTATTGACATCCGTGTCACCTGCAACAAGCGATTCAGGAAATGCTGCCGCTGTCATACGCAGGTGGTTTCATATTTTGATGTCTTCGATTCGGTGGGGATCTTGAACAGTGTCACGTTTTTCGCGTGGAAATCTGTTAATTTTTCTTTTCAGCGATGATCATTTGTGTTTTATTTAACAGCATTTTTTAGCTACTTCTTCCGATTTTCGTGATGCGGTATCTGGCCTCGGATGCGGAGTTCGTATATCGCGGCGCGCGTATAGCAGTCGCCGCGCGTGTGCGGAGTGGCAGTACGGACTAGCTCCTTCACATTCGCACCTTCCTCGAACGATTTGACGTTCTTGACGTCGTCCTCGACGTCATTCTAGAGGTCGTTCTAGAAGTCGTCCTAGACGTCGCTCCTGACGTCGTCCTAGAGGTTGTCTTCGAGATCACCCAGAAGTCGTTTTAGTCGTCGTCCTAGACGTCGTTCTTGAGGTCCTCCAAGAGGTCGTCCTAGAGATCGACCTAGAGATCGTCCTAGAGGTCGTCCTAGACGTCGTCTTTGACGTCTTCCTCTAGGACGTCGTCTTCGACGTCGACCTAGCAAGTAGATAAACACGCGCAGCGCATACACGGAGCGGCAAAACGCACACATTCACATTTGCACAAAGCTACGAAGCAATCACTCATGGCTGCGGCTCAAGCAGATGAACCCACGCCGCGCATACACGGAGCGGCAGTGCGCACACATTCACACATGCGCCAAAGCTACGAAGCAATTATCGGTTTGAGTTGAGCTGCTGAAACAGCTTGAACATTTAACAATCACACAGAGACAGGAGAAGACATACACACACGAAGCTGCAATGATGGAGGGGAAACCGCTTGAATCTTGGGTAACCGGACAAAAGCTCACCGGACAAAAGCTCACCGGACAAAAGCCCACCGGACAAAAGCTCACCCGTTTTTTCAGAGACCCAGACAAAAGCTCACCTCATTTTTTTTTTTGCTACCCCGGGTGAAACACGGGCTGTTATAAAGTACGGACGCGATGGACATTCCACCATTTTTATGAGAACTGGCATCCCATTCCATGCAAAGGTGTCGACAGATAAGCCATTACAGGCAGTGAAGCAACTATTTGGGACCAACATTTTGGTCACTGAAATTGAATGGAGCTGATAAGATCAAGCTTCCTTGACTCAAGTTATGCCGGAGCACCCGTGTGCCACGCCCAAGAAACTTCGTGAACCGAAGTTTTTAAACCCGAAGAGTGACCGAAGAAGCGAAGTCACCCTTTCTTGACCTCGCTTTGTCATTGCGCTTATGTCACGCTAAACGCGCACATAAAGGTTAGGCACAATGCCACTTCATTACGAATGTATGGGTTTTCTTTAATTTAATTTATCGTTGTATTTTAGTGTCGTACGCATGCACCTAAGTTGTCCGCACACGTGTGAAGACCAACATGAAATTTTCTCCTGGTGAGCTTTTGTCCGGGTGTGTGAAAAAATGGGTGAGCTTTTGTCCGGTGAGCTTTTGTCCGGTGAGCTTCTGTCCGGTGAGCTTTTGTCCGGTGAGCTTTTGTCCAGGATTCTGTATCTTAAACGATTACACAAAGACAGAAGATTGAACGTTTACACAGGGACGAAGCAATTCCTCAAGTTCGAAGTGGCGCGCTGCAGTCGTACTGACGTCAATGATTGTGTCGCAAATCATTAATAAAATTAAGTGTTTACTCAAAATTTGCGCCGTCGTATTCACATTGAGCTGCGTCGTGTACCTTACGCAAATGCTACCGCAAATCAAAGACAACAAACAATAGTTTTTTTTTGTGATAATCCCTGCGTGCAGCAAGAAAGTTAATAGGGGTGCCGTAGGAACGCATGGCTGCAGTTTTCACTACATCCCGCAGAAGCGCTAAAGCGAGATTATCTGAACTCGGCAGATGGCAAGTGGGACCTTCTGTCAAAGTAGTCGTCTCACTTTCAGTAACCGCTCGTTCACGGCAACTACCTTGTTACCTCTCACATCTCCATGCTGTCCCCTCCTCGTCGCCTCTGTGCTTAATATACACAGATCGGCCTTAAGGACCAGAACATTTGTCACGCATTGCGAATTTCGAATTTTAAGCGTATACACCTGAAATTGGGCACGTTAGCGTTGTTTCGTAAAGAAAATGTTTGTTTTGTTTAGATCTCAACTCAGTGGTGGTGAAATATTACAAATAAAGCAAAAACGTCGGCCACGCATGTCCTGTGTCTTATACCAGCCTGTTCGTCGTCTTTACACTATATTACGAGCTCACTTCCCGTGTGGCTTGCTGAACGCAAACACGCCGGGGTTTCCATAGAGGCTGGCGACGCGTAGGATAATTGTAATAGGTACCGTAATACTTTTAACAAAATATATGGAGGATGACCACCCGGGCGCAAGCTCGCAGACCAGTGTTCTGATCAAGAACATCCTGTTTAGGAAAAAGGAAATGCTCGGCCGCCGCGTTTTGCTATATATTTAATGATTTCACCACCCCTCAGTTAAGCTCTAAAAAAAATATAAAACATTTTGCGAGACGACGTTTCCGTGCCCGATTTCAGGTATACGTGCATTTAGTATTCGAATTTTGCAAGGCGTGCGGAACGTGCTGGTCCTCACGACCGCTTTCTGTGCATGTAACCTCCGAAGAACAGCCTCTGCGCGTCTCGACGAGAGGCCATGAAAGTATACCATGCTTCTGTACGGAAGCCAAATTGCTACAGATGAAGTGGACCGGCTGGACTGTTTGACTGGGTGATGCCGACAGTGTACAGACTATAGTGGACGAATGCCTTACATGGCACAGCGCTAGCCCGCTGTTATGAGCGCTTTGCAAGAACACGGACTCAAATAATGCGCCGGACACGGACGCGCAGTTTCGAACGAAGTAGAAGACGCAGTGCGTAATAGCCACCAAGATCACAGCAGATAGACCTAAAGTCCCATAGCATGATTGACCCCCTCTAAAGCCCTTCAATCCTGGTAAAAGTGGCGCCATTCATTGTTGTGGAAATGCTCGAGACACGTGCCGCGCGCCATTTCTGGTAAGAACACAGCGTCTGAAATCTAGCTCAGTGCTGCGCTGTGCCGCCATAATCTTCCCAAGGGCTGCGCGTTGTAGGTGCCTCTTGCACCGACGCACCTTGCAATGCGCTAATTTTAAAACATGAAGGGGCTTTAACCCTTTGACGTCCAGCGTTGCCCAGGTGCACCAACTCAAGAAGTATTTATTTCCTCCCGTGCCACGTGCGCCTCAATAAATTTAGCGCCATCTGTCGCATGGGCGAGGATACCTGCGCTAGCAGTAGAGGATCGGAATGAATCTTCAAAACAGATCACTCGTCCCTCAAAACCAAAGTCGACGGTGGATGGGACGTATGACGGCGTGTTCCACTGGCCTCAATACTGCGACAAGGAAGACCGGCGCAGATACTACCAATATTACCAGATAGAGATAGTACCAATTCAACCAATATTACCTTTCTCTACTGCACAAAATTCGAAATGCGCCTGGGCCTTCTCCTATGTCGTAACTGCTTTAATTCGTTTAACGTGGAGCAGCGCCGCAAATGCCCAATGTTGCTCACGAGCAGCATTTCGAAAACCTGCTTACGGAAAAGGTAATACATATATATATATATATATATATTTGTTTTTTAGACCAGATTTATGTTACTCTCTGTGTTCTAAAACAATGTCAGAGTTTGTAGGTCTCTAGTATTTCAAGTAAAGTTTTGGGCACGAAAGGGTTAACCCCTTCAGGTATCCAGTGCCATCTAGTGGGCTATGCACAGTCTAACATTTCGGATGCTAATGGCGCTACAAATCTAGTATCTAGCAGCACAGGAACGTTTGTTACCCAACGGTAGGTGGACGAAAGTGACGGTTTTTTTCCTGTAGAATTCTCCCTCCATTCGTTTCAATCTTGATGGTGACAAGAATCGACCACTCTGAGGTGCTTACTTGCACCTCCAGAGTGGTGCAAGGATTAAAAAATTGCCTACACAGCAAGGATGTGGTGGGCTGAGAGTGTGCCGACTGATTTATTAGACTCGAGTCCAAAATGACTATCATTTTGTTAGTATGAACTGCCTGGCACGTGCCGAAGGTGAGCATTCCTAAGATTAAGACGACACCCTCAAATATAACTTGCGTAGAAGCCTATAAGGGACACCACGCTGACATCGAACAAAATATCGAACGAAAGTCTAGAATGCTCAGGTTCTGCATCGGTTATTTTCTTCAACTTACTCTGAAATGCCGCCATTAGCATGGATTGACGTTGGCATAGATTATTGCCACTAAATAAACTACGGTTTAGAGTAACGACACTTACCCATCTTGAAGCTTAAAATCATGGTTGCCAGTTACCTGAAGCTTTATCTCAAATCACAGGAAACGCTTTTTTGTTCTCCACAAATATTTAAACAGTTCGCGACAAAGCAAAGCAATTATACATGAGCTTCCTAACACCGAATCTAATGCTGAGCATGTCGCACTTTTGAATCATGACGATCGGCAGTTGTGTCTTCTGTGCACTAAGCACCAAGATGACGGCGCCCAGAGCAATATCGGGGAACAGAGTGGCGATATTCTAAGCTTAGCTCATTTAGTGGCTCTAGCATAGACATATGCTATACACATAGATGGTTACAGTTATCGAAGTGGTCAGTCTGAATTTCGGAAATAACCTTTTGCAATCTACGAACCACTGCGAAAGGTTGGTTGTATGAATCCTTAGTGTTGAAGTGTCTTCATATTAAGCGTTTTGGGGTGAAAGTTTTTGGTTTAAAGTTTTCAGGATGAACTCTCCAGGATAAAATTACCTCGGATGAAATGGTACACCCTGCAGTGCTTTACATACCGCATAAGCTCTACTGGCATGGAATTTAGTGGTATAAAACGTCCTCGCATGAGATAAAAGATCTTGACATTAAAACATCTCGGAATAAAAAGCCCTTAATATGATGCATGCGGGGTGAACTGTCCTGGGATGAAATTACCTTGGGTGAACTGTGGTAGAGCCGCAGCTAGAGCTCACAGAAAGTCCGGGTCGGCTCACAAACTGCCATGGTACACACGCAGATCGACTGGGACCGCTACTTCAACTCGCTGCTCGTCGACAAGGTGGCCTCGGACGAGCCCATCAATGTGGTCGTGCCCGAGTTCGTGCAACAGTTCGAGTCTCTAATCCTGCGCACGCCGGCGCGCACCGTCGCTAACTACATGGTGTGGCGCGTGGTGCTCCAGTCGTACGCCACGCTGGGCAAGCCATGGCGCGAGCGGCTCCAAGAGTTCAACGCAGTGCTGACGGGCAAGACTCGCGAGACAGCCCGCTGGGAGCAGTGCATGGGCTCGCTCACGGGCTCCCTGGGCATCGCGCTGTCCTCGCTCTACGTGCGGCACTTCTTCCAGGAGGACAGCAAGGGCGCAGCGCTGGACATGGTTAACTTCATCCTCAAGGAGTTCGTGGCCATCCTAGACGACATAGACTGGATGGACGAGCAGACGCGGCAACGTGCCCGGCAAAAGGCCCAGGCAATCCAGCCGTACATCGGATACCCCGAGGAGCTACTGCGCGACGCGCTAGTGGAAGAGCACTACCGCAACGTGACGCTGCGACCAGACGCGTACTTCGAGAACATCATGCGGCTGCGCAAGTGGTCCACGGACTACGCCTTCGGGCAGCTGCGCAAGCCGCACATCAAGGGCGAGTGGAAGAAGCACGCCCAGGTTGCTGTGGTAAACGCCTACTACAACAGCCTGGAGAACTGCATCGGTGAGTGCAACGTCACTGGTCGGCGGATGTCGCTTCACTGGTCATCGTGTCTCGATGCACTAACGGTACGCTCAGAAGGAAAGACTGGATCTCAGGTGGCCACTGTTGGTACGCTGAAAGTGAGGCGATAAGGAAAATGTGTAGATACTTTTCTGATCCATGAGTACTTAAGAAATAGAGCTGACCTTAACGTTCAATTTCCAGAGATTCATTGATAGAAGAGAGATATATAGAGGGAGATATTAAGTTTTGTTGAACTCCTCTTTTGTTATTTGCTTCACTACCTCTCAAAAGAAAACTAGTTAGAACCAGATTGTGACCTCAACCGAAGTGTTAATGGAGCTGCATAAGCAAATTGTTCAGTTAACAGAACATGACGACTACTAGGCTTTGGCTAACGGATAAGATCATTTCTAACCAAAGTCAAGTTTGCATCCCTAGCAAACGCTTCACGTGAACATACAAGTATATCGGAAATGTGACCTACGCTATAATATTATTGATAATATTAAGGCATTCATCATCAGTATACGCTGCAAGATCACCATCATTATAATGCAGTATTATTGGAAAAGCGCCGCACCAACAAGGCAAGGTTGATTGACATCTAAAATACTGTTTAGGACGTCACTGCAGTTAACAAAGATAACTCGCGCGTTCCCTTTTACGTGGGGTGGCACATAACGACGTATTTCTTTCCTTGCTCACGCAGAGTTCCCTGCTGGCATCCTGCAGGGAGCCTTCTTCTCTAAAGATCGGCCCAGGTGAAACAATGTGCTTGAGCTGTCGTCGAAATGTCCCGGCCTAAAACGTGTTCCGTTTCTTTTTTTTTTTATTCCAGCTATATGAATTACGGCGCCATCGGATTTGTCATCGGCCACGAAATTACACACGGCTTCGACGATCGTGGTAGGTGGGCGCGCCAATGTCCATTCATGAAGTTGCCATTCACAAGAAAGGACAGGCTGTCAGGTGGTGTCCCCACTCTGACTCCCTGGTGCACTTCGGTGTCGGCTGTACAGGGCGTCAGTTCGACAAGGACGGCAACAATATCAACTGGTGGGAGCACGAGACAGACCTCAAGTTCCGCCAGAGGGCTCAGTGCATCGTGGAGCAGTACGGAAACTACACGGTATCCGAAGGCACCATGAAGGTGAGAGTCGTTGTATCTATAATATTCGATTCAATTCAATTTGATTAATCTTTATTGTCTCCAGTTTGGAGAAGGAGACAGGAAAAGAAGCTGCGTTCAGTAGCTTGACAGGTCTCTGCCTCCCATACAGACTTGGGCAGATTAGTCGGCACTTGCAGAAAACAAGAAAAAAAACAAAAACGTACAGTCCATGATACAGCCTTTGATACCATGATCAGTACAGAACTTTTAAAATGCTATTTGTTGTTAAAATACAATGGTATAATTTGGTTATTTGGCATATTCGCTATGTGAATATTGTTTTTTATGAGTTCATTAATCGTAGATTGTACAGTATACATTTGAAATGCGTAATTGGTTCTTGGATGCGGCACTCTCCAGTGCTCTGGACTACGCGTATGATAAGACGAAGAGCTTTTATCCAGCGAAGCTAAGTGAAGACATGATTTATTATAATAAATACTATCTTTATATTGCTGGATTAAAGTCTGTGTATATAAGTCAAAAACACGTGTTGCCTTAACTTTTTTTTTTTTTAGAATAAAGTATTGGCTAGACTATTATATGGTAGTACATCGGCTACTAAACGCAAGATTTTTTTTGTGCGATGTATAATCTGTCTAGGTTTAATTTCTTCGTATTGCCCCATACAAGCCGGCAGTACTTTCAATGTAAAGCAAACAATGTGTTATATAAAATAATCTTGTGATATAAAATAACCTAGAGTGGCATGCATTAACGTGCAACTTTAGTGGTAATATTAGCAATATATTTTTCTTTAACATAAAGAAAATATACGATATTCTGACGGCTGGACAGGCGGAGTTTTTTTTGTGTTCGACGCTTACTCTACTCGTCTGTCCCAGTAGTTTTCGGCGCGGTCGCACAACATCGGGAATAATTTTTGCGCGCTTCTAGCCACGATATTCGGGCCCCACCCAGGTTGTGTTATAGAGCGGAACTATGCTCCGTTTTACTTTAGGTTGAGACGCAGGTGACGGAGGACAAGTGCACTTTGCAAATATTTGGGAAAGGCTAGTCTTCTGTGCTTGCTTCTGCTGGGGAAGCGGCTCCCCCGGATAAGTGTTCGCATATCTAACCTTCTATGTCTTCTATTGCAGTATGATCGTCCTCTGCCATGCGAGTGCCGGAAAGTTGCCACCACATTCATAGAAAGCAATGCATAAACAAAAACACTTTATTTTCGAGTCACACCATCTGAGCCAGCTAATCTTTCCACAAAATAATTTATTTTTTCTCATCCTTCTTACTTTTGGGGCTTCTCGACAAATGACTCATCCCACGGCGAAGTAGACGCCCACACTGCTTCTAAAGTGCATGTCACTGCCGTGGTCGCAAATAACGCGAGCGTTTTCTCTCCCCTCATGCAGGTGAACGGCGTGAACACACAGGGTGAGAACATCGCCGACAACGGAGGCATCAAGGAAGCCTTTAACGTAAGTAACGCCATTAGACGACTCGAGGTTCATTCACACACGACCGTTCGCTTATTTGTTTTCTTACGATGCATCACTAGCAGGATTTTTCGTTTTCGAAAGATACCAGTAACACCACCAACCCCTCCCCCCCCCCCCCCCCCCCCCCACCCCCGCACACACACAGAAAATAAAATAAAAAAATTAACGTTGTGTCGGGTTTATTAAAATCAGAGAAAAAAATGAAAAAAAAAAAAACGATTTGGAGCTGTCCTGAGTAAGAGAAATGTCCAAGCTTCGTGGGGAGAATTATCTTTCTATAGCTTTATTTCTTGTCGACCCGAATCACATAGCCCAATGAGCTGTGCGCGAAGCTCCTTCTTACTTCGAAACCAGACTGCTTATCTCGTTTCGTTTTTTCATTGCTACAGGAGAGTTTTTCAAGCATTCGGGTCACGCGCATGTTTCCTTGAATTTGGAGAATCCTATGTCCGTGTCTTATTTTATTCCCCGTAAGTCCAGATAAGCGCCGACGTTTTGTCCGACCCCGAAACTAGACAATGCAAAATACGAAATCTGTGTCAAACATTACAAAAAAAAAAACAAACAAAAAAAAAACACCCCGAATAAAAAAAAATCTAGTTACAAATCACTGGGACATCCGTGCTTCGTACGCCGCGTGTCATTACCCCTTGAACTGATTGCTACACTTCGTAATCAAGCACGGCTGTCCCGGTAACTCGCTGCGTACGCAGATGTAAACTCTCGCAACGCATACGTAAGCAAATAGTACTGCGTAAACGGTCCTTTATACCTGACGACGTTGAAGCGCAGCGTCTGACAGCCCGTTTTTTGTTTTTTTCGCAGGCTTACAAGAAGTGGGTGAAGGAAAACGGTCCGGAGGCCGGGCTGCCGGGCCTCAAGTACACCCCATCGCAGCTCTTCTGGATCAGCGCCGCCAATGTGAGTGCTTGGCGTGCCTCTTCTGAACGCTTCTGCATCATGCTGGATGACCTGTGCAACTACTGCCAGCGGCCAGAGCCCAGAGACCGGACATGCACCCTGGTGCCCAATAGCGCCGAAAAGCTGGTGTATATTAACCGCATTTAATCCAGAAGAATAGAATAATTGTAGAAGAAACGTTTCTAAAACTAGTGGCGAACAATGGGAAGAGAGAGAAAAAAAGAAAAGAAAGACGTGTACGCCTTCCTGTGGCGCCGGTTTAGAGCGCAGCGTTTGAGGAGAAGGAGGGGAGGGTACTGAGGGGACTGTATGCCCCTCCTCCCCATTCGTACCCTTCCCTCCTCCCCTCCTCCTTCTTTCACGCGCGAAACGCGCGTCGTCACGCAACTTTTTCGGCGCGGTGCATTATGGGACGTTTCCCATAATGCACCGCGCGGTTACGCCGACGCCGACGGCGACGTCGCTCAAGCCGAAAACGGGCGCCTAAGAGCTGCGCTCTAAAAATATTCGTATCCACATGACTAACGTGCAAAGCGCTCCAATTAAAACTGCGTGACGATCACACGACGTGGTGCGTTTAGGGAGCGGCAGCCGTGCTGCTTATTCGACGATATGACGATGACGATCGATTGACATTGCGCCGATCGTGCGTCAAATGGGGATCTGATATTGAAATGACGCTGCGTTGATTGTTAATGCATAAATGATTTCAAGGTCGTGATGTGTTTTCCTATCAAATTTAGTGGGGAAACTGAATGTTTCGTGTCGGTGTTCAAAAATTGGCCATTAGTCGCAGCACAACTATGCTCGATCTCAGAATGGGACTTCAGGGTTGGCAAGGGTGCGGACATCCTTGCCAAGACCCTTGCCAGGACCCTTGCCAGCACCCTTGCCAGCACCCTTGCTAGCCTCTTGCTAACACCTCGTCAGCCCCAAAGCTAATGTCACGTGACGTCAGGTCACGTGTCATTAATTTTTCCGTGAAGTTGAGTGGAGAAACTGTGATTGGTGGTCTGTGTTTCCGGGTTGTATTTGTTTGGTTAGTGCGTTTTTCAAAGGGCCTGGGGGTATTTTGAAGCTTGGCTGGCTCTGTTGCTAAAATGCTTGCAACCTTCTTTCTTCTTCTTTTTTTAATACGTTTTATGCAGACGTCTGTAAGATATCTAAGGCTACACAAGTGCCATCCAGACATGCGTAGGATATCTCTGAGGATATCTCTGCCGCCTCGGTTCTAAGAGGGTTCTAAAAGTTACTCCTAAAGATAATTGAGTTGCAATTTATATTCATGTTTTCTAGAATGTTAATGTAAGAATACTAGTTAGATTTCTACAAATGTGTATAATTGCAATTACGGTAACTCACAGAAATGTTAGTAACCACGTTTGATTTAAATTTCTTTTGATATATCCTATGAAGTGTCCTTACTCTATCTGACAAGGTTTCTTGGGTGCTTAAAATGCCCGGGTGCAATGGCGTGGCTTTGCTAAATGCTTTGTGTGCACGCGCACTCACGCACTGAAAGTAATTTCCGAAAACACGCGGTCGTGCCCGCAGCCTTGCAAGCCCTGAAATGAACTTGTGAGGCGGAGCATAGTTGTGCTGCAACCGCTGACCAATTTTTGAATGCGATTTTCGAACAATGATTCTCACTGGAAACCATTTTTCAGTTGTTTGAGTACAGTATTCGCACAGCTTCGTTTTGTTTCAGCGTAGGTTAAGGTAGGGACAGCGCGAAGCGCTAGCGTTGAAAATTGATCAACTTGTAATTGGAGCCCTGGTCAACATAATTTGGAGACGTATCTGTCACTGAACTATGTTACAAGTTGCCCCCCCAAATGTAGGTAAGTTAAAAATACCGAAACGTAATTGTCATTCAAAGTATTTATTAAAAAATGTGTAATTAAATACAGGAAGTAAATTACTTTTTAAGGAGACTCTCTGCGATTCTGACTCTGAACGGCACGACGCAGGTATGGTGCGGCAAGTACCGGCCCGAGGTCATGAAGCTCCGCATCCTCTCGGGCTCGCACAGCCCGGCTCCATTCAGGTGCGTCACAGATGGTGGTGGTGTTGATTGAAACTACCGGTGTTGGGACGTACTTTAAGTACATGGTACTTAAAGTACGACTTAAAGAAGGCTTAGAAAGCTTGTACTTCACTTGAAGTACATTCTCGGAGTATATACTTGTACTTAGGATACTCGTTTCTGGTACTTTCCGAAAAAAAAGTACAACTCCCGACTTTATAGCGTATTCCCCAAATTCGGTCTTATCAAGTTTTGATAAAAAACGATGTTTTCCCAACAAATATGTTTCTTATAAGTTGATTGTGTTAAATAATTCATTGGTGAGTAAAAGAACTACCGTATTTACTCGCATATTGGTCGATACGTCGTATAGGTCGACCCCCTAACTTCGGGACCCCCCCCCCCCCCCCCCCAAAAAAAAAAAAGTTGAAAAATATAATACCGGGATTCGCGTATTGGTCGACCCCCCAGTTTTGATGAGGCGATTTTTGAAAAACAGGTCGACCTATACGCGAGTAAATACGGGTAGTTAGTTTGTGGTGACTTGTGTTTATTCAAAATTTGCCGCCATTTTCGGAAATAACTGATGCCCCCCCCCCCCCTTACTTCTAAAACAAGGGACACAAATTAAAAAAAAAGAAAAGAAACAGCATGGGAATAAAAGGGCATCATGAAAAATTTGTTAAAAAAATACCTGTATTCTGAAAGTACATTGCGCCCGTTGTACGTACTACATTACTTGAAGTACATAGCCTCTAATTTACTTCGTACTTTACTTCAAGTATTTTTTTATATACTCTAACCAGAGTACGAGTCAGCAGGCTGCGGGCCCTGCTGAGAAGTGCAGCAGCTCTGACACGGAATATCCTGCCAAATACAAGCCCAAGCGCTTGCTTTCTTGCGTGTAATGTACCCTTGCAAGAAGTGCTGTGCGCATGCGCGAAAATTCCTAGCTTCTTTCACAGATGCTGAGCTCACTGTGATAAGCGCTTTCGTGCGGTTTCTGCGTTAGGTAACAGGGCGCACAAGCACCAACGTTATATTGAAAGAAAAAAGAAAAGAAAAGTGCGAGAACTTTTTTTTAAACTTTCATGCCAAGGGGAAAGAGAAGAGGGGTGTTTAGAGAAGGGGGCTTCTTTGTATATATTCTGTTTCATCGTAATTCTAAGCAGGGCCAAAAACTGGTTCCAAGACAGATAGATACATTTGCGCAAAGTAATACGCGACTTAAAGACGCACTCTTCGCGCTTGACAGGTCCAGTTGGCGCTAAAACTCGCATAAAACTACAAGAAACGCCGTGATCTAGTGCTTTCCGTAAAGCTTGATTGGACCACTGGGCCATGGCGTTGGTAGCACTCTGAATTAGGAAAAAGCGAAGTATAGACCCTTTTCGAAAGGCCGTCCTCTGTTGACAGCTGTGGAATCCCTGCACAATGGCGGACTAAAACCGCAATGCAACGCCACACTTTATACGTTTTGGTGGATTAGAAGAGAAAAACACACCCACAAGAAGATGCGAAGAGCGCAGTGGCGTTGCGCGTCCGGTGCTGTTTGATTGACTCGTCGGCTCCTAGCATTGGCCGCGTTCCGACGTCCGCTTTCGAAACGACATGCACCTTCCACGATGTCAGTTGTTCTCCTATTGTGCAGTGGTCCTGACCCTCTAATAATCGGCACGTTACTTTGGAACGGGGTTTATAGGCTTTCCGCAGATGATTTTTAGAGTGTGATATCAGAAGCCGGCCAAAAGTTACGACTATAAAAGATTCAGAACCTCGCCACATTTCTTTTAGTGAGAGTAGCAGAATTTTAGAGAAGTATTATTCTGCCATGTCACAAGGAAATAGGACCAGTGATAAGAGCCGAGCCCTCCTTCATGCAATCTGCTAGCAGCGGCGCGAATACTGCTTGTGGTACCGTTGCCGCTCAATCCAGAACTTGACAGTGCTGACGCGGGTTGGTGTTATCATGGGTGTTTTACTCATGTTGATTGTGTTACGCACTTTTGCTTGACCTTTGAGCAAGCCCGCTGTACAGGCAAGATTTTAAGCACTACAAATAAGCTAATCGAAGGCCCTAAAGGAGATGAATAAATACTGTTTCACTGTGACTTGAAATGGAAGCCAGATGTCCGCTGTGGTTACCCTAAAGCGGTGTTGAAATCACGATGAACACGCTCATGGTCAGTGGCCTTACAAACTTAGAGGTAGAGAAACTATAGTTCGTGTTTCATTTTTTGTTGGCATGCTAGTACGCTTGAACAGTTGGCTTGGATTGGGTTTTTTACGGCGCAAGGGTTTCTCAGGCCAAAGAGCTCCAAAGACTTGGACTGTGATCCGCGCGATTTGCGTCGGGATAGAATAAACGCTTTCCGAACTGGCTGACAAAGTTCAGGATCATAAAGCACACTCCGCGCTCCGTAGAAGTGGGGACATTATTTGCGCTACCCACTAAGACGTCGTCTTTTTTACACGAAATGTGCTTTGTCATGTATGTTCGTTGTCCGTGAATACTCGCTAACTGGAATGCATGGCCAGTGTCAAGAGGCTTCACGCCGACCGGCGGCAGCACCGCCTCAACGACGGAGCAAATAGAGCGGCCAGATTGCTGAAGCGCTCTTAGGAGCTTGACAGTTCTCTCATGACTCCGGGAAAGTTATTCCATGTTACTTATTTCATTATAAACCGCTTTCGACAGTCACGTGCCGATAAATAGAAGGTCAGAACCACTGCACAATGGCAGAACAACTGCGTCGAGGAGCGTGCAGGTTATTCCATAAGAGAGCGAACGTCGGAGCTCGGCCAACACTACGAGCCAACGAGACAATCAGCGAGCCATCACGTGTGATGGCTCGCTGATTGGCTCGTCAGAGGGCTCTATTTGGAAAGGGGTTTATTATATATGCCATGCCTGTGGTGTCCAGGAGCCGGCATACATGCAAACAGCCTTGTCACGTGCATGTCACTCTCGATGCCTCTTGCCCGCAAAAAGTGTTTGAATCATTTAGCGCTTTTTGTCATATATTTACATGGATGAGATAAATTTCCATGTCCTCATACACGAACTCATATTTGACGTTACTCCCGGCGGTGGCACTTTCCCGACGTTTCACGAACACCTTATGGGAATTGGGCGGTTTGATTGTAGCAGAGACTGAATAAACGAGCGCCGAGCTTGGAACGGACCTGCCGAACACCCCTTCCCGTGGAGTGCATAAGTAATGCTTTCTCTTGTAGGTTCCGCTTCGCTTACACTTAAAGCCCCTGCGCACAAATGAGTTGTAAGGGCGTTTGAGTACGTTTGACTGGGTTGCGGCTGCGAGAAACCAGGACATTCCTTCTTCTTATGTCGCATGCCGAGCTATTCTTGAATAGGATTGCACGCTTCACACGAAACACATATGCGCCGGTGGCGCGCTTTCGTTTCTCGACGCAACGCAGTCAAACGCACTCAAACGCTCTCAAACGCTCTCAAACGAAACTGTGCGTAAGAAATGCAACATTTTTTTTTACTTTTGCGCAAATACCGTTTAGAATGAATCCTCACGTTACTGACCTATGAAGAGCTTTACAAATTAAATAAAAACGAGCAGAGTTCACTCCCTCAACTTGCAGCCACAACAAGCGACGACATAATCTGGAGCCGAATATAGGCCGACAGTGCGTAAAGCCTGGTTCAGACAGTTGCGTTTGACAGCGTTTGACTGCGTTGCGGCAGCGAGAAACCAGGGCATCCCTGCTGCCTGTATCGCGTGCCAAGATGATTCCTTGAATTGGATTCCATGCTTCATACGAAGCACAGTTGTGCCGGTGACTCACTTTCGGTTCTCGACGCAGTGCAGTCAAACGCACTCAAACGCAAGTGTCTGAACCGGCCTTAACCACGCTGAGGTTGGCAAAGCACAGGACACGTGCTGAGCTGCAGACATTGTTATGGTGTGGCTATTGTTATTGCCGTGATTGGACACGAGTCACTACCCGAACGCTTGTCGAGCTATTGATTATCACGAGCCCAAATTGAGTGCTCACCAAATGCTCTGGTCCAATCAATGAGCCACGTTCAAATACCGGACTGTGACCTCCCAGCTGTGTCATAAAGTTGTGCGAAGTAGAGATTGACAGATTTGTAACTGACAATAGTGCCAATAAGCTCGTGTAAAGTGAAAAACATCCCAAGCGAATATCGCTGCAGAACCCCTTTAAAGGGAAACGATTGATATTGTATTAGAGTAAAACCATTTAAATCGCCTTCGTTTAGCCTCCAGGATCACAAATATCGATATTTGTTCTCAATTTGGTGCACGAAGGCTGCAGGAAACTATTTTTTCCAAGTACCGCCGAAGCCCCTTCTTCCCGGAGCGTTACGTCATAAACGTAGTTTTCGGAAACCCCGCTCTCGCGCATCTCCAGCGCCCATTGAAGCTATGCACGCACACTCCTGCTATTTTCAACAAGGTCAGTAAAAGACGTCACAACTGGTGTCAGTGCGGGGCACTATAGCTGGTAAGCTCGCAATTGCACGTGCTGCCCACGCGAACGACACGTCCTTGAAGGCCGAAATGTCCTCTTATGATGTAAGGACTGGTTCGACGTTTTCCGTGTTGAATATTGAACGTTGAATATCACGTTCGTTTTCACCTTCGGGGAAAACGAACGTGATATTCAAACACACCGGATAAAAGTACTCTAGAATTCACCTCTAACTCGTTTTTAACGCGATAGCATTCTTAGCTATTTCACCCGGTCTTCACGGTACACTCTTTGGCCTCGAATGCGGCGCGCGTAAGGGAACGCGCCGCGCGGCGGCCCGGCGCCTCCGTGTGCACACAACGTTCGCATACGCAAGTGCCACACGCATGCGGACGTCGTCCTCGACGTGTTTCTAGGGTCGTCAATGAGGTTGTCGTAGAGGTAGCCCTTGAGGTGGCCGTACAGGTCGTCCTAGAGGTCGTCCTAGAGGTCGTCCTAGACGTCGTCCTAGCAAGCAGATAAGCCCACGCCGCACATACTCTGAGCGGCAGTACGCACACATTCACATTTGTGCCCAAGCTACGAAGAAATTATTGGCTTGAGTTGAGATATATATATAGTTGTTACACGGTCAATGATGTCGAGGAAACAGCTTGATCATTAAACGATTACACAGAGACAGAAGATTAAACGATAACACAGAGACGAAGCAATCACTCGGTTTCGAAGTGGCGCGCTGCAGTTGTGTTGACGTCAATGATTTCGTCGTAAACCATTTATAAAATAAAGTGTTTACTCAAAATTTGCGCTGTTGCATTCACAATGAACTGCGTCGTGAATCTTATGACAATGCTATTGCAATTCATAGGTAGCCAACAAGTGTTTTTTTTTTTTTTTTCAAGAACCTTTTCAGCTTTTCTTTAAGGTAAAACAGCGAGAGCCCTCTGTATACGTGCAGTGCCAACATCACGCAAAATATTCAAATGCCTGAGCACTAGAATATTGGCATCATCATCACACAGATCAAACGAAGACACTGATTTGATACGAGTGCCGCGTCAGGGTTTGGTTGCGCCTCGTATTCAATCAACGCGTCGAAAGACTGTCGGCATCGCGCCCGGGCCCAACTGCTGAGTTGGCGTCATCTGACAGTGATGACGTTTCATGGAAAAATACGAGAATGTTCGCCTGCCTTGATTATTCATTTTGGTGTTGGCAGTGGCCATAGTTTCCACGTGACCCCATGCGTATTTATCAACATTAGTTTTGTGTTTACAATAGATCCAGGAATAGATTACTTCCAAAATCTCTACGCGCAGCACTGCCCCCGTCGAACACTCTTGGCCACGGAGAGGAGTGGCATGGTTTCGATTTCAATCGCCCCGTTGACAAAGTAGTGTATCTCAGCACTGCATAAAAATAAAGTTAGGGCTCGCTTGCATTGCACCCATTCATCTTCGTGGGCCCTGTTGAAACAGGGACCTCAAGCGGCTCTAAGGACACGCCCAGGCTTAGAGGGCAGTAGGGGTACGGCCGACCGCGTCCCGTACGTTTTTGGCGGCCTGGCTGCCACTCTAGAGTGCAGCATGACCTACCGGGCTCACGAATAATTTAAGAAGCATACTGAGAGGAAGATGAAACAGGGTGACCGGCCCAGTATACTTCTTCTTTCATGTGCATTCGTAGTCCTCTTTAGGAGCGCACAAACACTGGCACGCCGGGAGCCCAAAAAGAAAGCCCGTGTCCCAGCATTTTATTAGTATTGGTATGTAACGCCTACAGTGTTATACATTTGAGGAAAGTCAGATATTCCAAAATGCAAGCGCAGCATTTGGTTGTGACGAGATGTCGTAAAATGAGGTTGGCAAATCGAAACTGAAACTGTAACCAAGGGGTTCCCAAGATGCTTCTCACGGTACTACGCCGCTAGGACCGCTTCGATTTATTACTGCAATCGAATGTTGATTTTGCCGTGCAGGGTCATCGGTCCCATGTCCAACACGCCTGAGTTTGCCGCGGAGTTCAACTGCCCGGTCGGATCTCCCATGAACCCAGTCAACAAGTGCACTGTCTGGTGATTCCCGACCTCCTCGGAATAAGATCTGATCGCTCTCGCAACCCCAAGGAGCATGCGTCGTCCACTTCCTCTCGCGGCACCCTCTCACCCGAAGGGGATTTTCCGCGGTACGCCCCTCCTTCCCAACAGGATCCCGAACACGGGGTCCTAACCGGTGTCTCACTTTCGACCCCACTTTTGACCACACCATCCCTGCCGTCGAGGGCCAGGCGCCGCATAGTCAACGCGAACCCTCATTGTCAATCCCATCGCCCCCACCAATAGCTAGACTGGCAGCGGGATACTCCTTGTATGCTCTTGGGATTCCATCTACGGCCCCCTCAGGTTGCAGTCTACGGATATGGCGGAATCACAATGTCTTGTCGTGATGGCTATGGCGTGCAGCATCTGTGATTCAGTTAAACTTTTCATTACACCCATGTACAGACTACTACAATATGAAAGACCCAATCGCCGTGGCAGTTTATGCGGTGCTGCTATGTATAGACGCTTTCAGCGCGCGCCAAATTCAGCCGCCATAGCCGACCTTCTCTTGTCTTACCGAGATGTCGAGCGACTGAAGCGGGCGTTGACGAGTCTCCACAAGGGCCTATGCTGGGGAGAAGGACACGGTAGAATCTGAAATGGCAATTACCTGTCCTGCTGTGGTAATGAAGAAGTGGATCGAACGAAATAAGAGGAAACAAAAGCTGAAGGTCGGTTATGGCGGCGCCCATGCACAGCTGCCTGAAAGCGTCTATACTTCGGTCAGAGGCCCTTCTCAGAGACACAATAGAAGAAGGTCAATTTACTTTCCCACTCCTTGCAATGTGAACGCGGCCTAAGCGAATGCCGCAGAACCGCCAGCAACTGCCTCGTGGAAGGGGTCATACGCATTGTTGGAGAAAGTACATTCTTTCAGCGCCATTACTCGCACGTCATCAAGGTTGCCAACCTGCCAAGCCGCGGTCCAAGAACTTGTCCACAGATGACGCCATGAACGCATAAGGTCATTGTCAAAAAACGCAAAGCGTATGGTCACGTCGTCTGCGCATTTTGAGCAGCCTCACGCCAAAGTTTGTACGAACAGGGACTCTAAATTGTTCACTTGGCGAGAAAGTCGGCGAGATCGCCTACCGCTGCGATTGGCCAGCGCAGATATCTCGCCGACTTTCTTACCGAGTGTCCAACTTAGAGCTCCAGAGCGGTCCCTCCAGCCCTTCATTTCTCAGCGGTCATCTTCGTCGTGCGGTGTCCTGCCCTCGGCCGGTCGAGTTCAGGCGCGCTGCCCGCTCGCAGCGAGCGTCGGCCCTTCTGCGGGTCTTGTACATAGATCGCGCGTTATCGGCACACGGTCCTGTCGTCGCGCTCTTGTTTTCTCACACCCCTGCTGGGTGAAATAAAAGTGATACATTCACATCCGTCACAGTCCTTTTCTTTTGGTCGCTCATGACGTACCGGCTGCTGTCATGCTCGAGAGAGGCTGTTCAAGGTAAGTCCTAGATTTGTTGCTTTTGGAAGACGAAAGTTAAGCGCGTTCAACTATACAAGGCCGCTTCATAGACGTTTTGTGGGAGCGGTACTAAGTAAAGCCCCTCCATAGAGAGTAAACGACATCCTTTAAAGAACGTCCCTATCCTGGAACAATCATAGTGGCTGGCGAAAGCGGGGAGCAACGAAACGAATTGCACGCAGCGGCGGAAGAGGAGGAGGAGGAGAGAGGGAATGCCCATTCCCCTTTCATCCCGTCATGGCTATGGACATATTTTTTTAAAGTGTTCTTTGCAGCTAACCTAATCAGATCCGAAAATACGCACCGTGACATTGCGCTCTCACCAGTCTTGGGTGAGTTACTTTAAAAAGTAATTAGCCACAGTTACAGATAGTCTGTCAAAGATGTATTTAAGTTACAGTTACAGTTACTTAAAAATAAAAGTAACGGGTTACAGTTACAGTTACTTCGCCATAGAAACTTAGTTACTTTCAATTTTTTTGTCAATGTCTACAATTTATAATTATTTGGAACTCTCAGAAGACTCTCACTTCACTTTTTGAGATATATATTATTACCGTCGCACGTCTTTGTTGAATCGAGCGTTCGCTGGTTCTATACAAAATGGACTAAATAATAAATTATTTAGTTAATATAACGCAGCAGCAGCTGCTTTCAAGTTTATAATTCCTTAACTTTTCTCATTTGATGCACATCTCGCGATACTACCCTCGACTGGCTCTCACGTCCAATCAATCCAAATGTAGCAATGCTGCATCATATCCGAGAATGATAGTAATGGCGGAAACTGCAATAAAGCAAAAAACAAGCGCGCTTGAGGGGAAGGGAGAGGTCGCTATCCTCCTCATTCAGGGGTGCGACGCTCTGTATTAAACATTTATTAATTTGCTCTTACCGGACCTCCTCTGTTCGTTTTTATTTACTTTGCTGAAGTAGTACGAAAGGCGCTTGCCTTGCTGAAACCAAACTATTAATCACCAACAAAGGCTCTACCACTACCGGACTGGATTCGAGCGCTTCTTTTTCATGCGCCCATTTCCGTCACAAGAGAAACATTTACATCTTTCTGCACGGGGGCATTGGCAGCCGATTATTCTCGTTGTTCCACTCTGCTGACCCTGCAGCTCAAAGGGGTCTGTTTCTCCTGGCCCAGTACTGTTGTGTCCCTAATTGCACGTTAACATCGGGGAAGACTTTCGGCGTGTCTTTCCACCAGTTGTTCAGCGATGAATCACTAAGCACCACGTTAAAAAAGAAGCTACCAAGAAAGATCCTTGTTGTCAACAAGTTCCCATCCACGGTGTGCGCGTAAACGTTTTTTTATTCCCTTAGTGAAGCATTTAGCTGACTATTGCTTTAAAGGCAATCAAATTAATCAACAAGAAAATGCTCATACCCTGCGATTTTCGTGCCGTGGCATTACCTCCAGGGAGAGTTACCATTGAAATCTTCGACCTGCGCTGTAATTATGAATCTTCTATTGATTTCCAAAATTAATACTCAGAATCTAGAAGCAACTGACTCGCTGTCACATTTCCAGCATAATGTGAGGAATAGGGCATAGCAGGCTTTGCGATAGTTTCCAAACGGTTGGCGCGTTCGCTTCTTTGTCAGCTTCTCCAGATCGCTTTGACCAGAGTCATAGCCTCCTCAATACTTGCAAAGCCTGGCAGTTCGACGACAGAGCCATAGAGCGCCCGGTCGCAGATTTAGAGCGCGAGGATCTGGTAGCACAGAAGATTTCTCGGGGAGTCTGGTAGTGAGCGCACAGCGTTTGAGCAGCGCGGACCCGAAACACACTGTTTGCTCGGGAGTAACCGATGCGACTGGCTGGTGATATCGAGGCTACGGCGATTGCGGCTGCCGAGTCAGCGTGCTCAGCCTCGTCGTCGCATTGTGCAGCTGCGCAGCGGAAGAAGCCATAGGGAAGAACCGACAGTTTTGTTTCGACGTCTATTTACGGCGTTGTATCAGAGGCCTCTATTCTAGGTGACAACATCCTCGCATAGCCGTCTTAGAGACGTCTTCGTCGGGACGAAAACGTCTCGACCAGCTAAGGACGTCCTCAGGACCATCTGCGTTGTCTGGGCAGTTGTGTGCCCTGTGGCGCATGGAGCGCTGAACACTCCAAGCAGGGGATACAGACTTTTCGACGCTGTTCCCGTGTATCAATATCTGTAGTCTGTAATCAATCAGCCCCGGCAGTTTGCCGCACAAGTTTGGGCCGAAACGAACCAGACGAAACCGAAACAGAAGAACGGGGAAGGTGTGTCATTCCAGTTACCCTCACCAACACGAGAGAGACGTGTTTCCGCGTCTCGCCGCAACGGGGCACCCGTTACATGACACTCCTCTTAAAGGGGCCCTGCAATGACTTTTTGACTGTTTTTTAGTTCGCACTGAACCTGAGCGTACTGAACGTAGTAACTTAATCCAACTTTTCTCTTCTCAAATTTCGCTTTATTTTAAAAGTTATAGGCCAATTAGAATTACAAAAACGAGCTAAAAATAACCTCCTTCATGACGTCGTAGGTCCTGGCTTAAGTAACCTTGAACTAGAGGAGGAGTAGTGAGCTCATCGAGCGCACACGGCTGCCGCACTCCGTGTCGACGGCTCGAGAGGGCGCCACTGAAGCACGTGTTGGATATGCTGTATGAAGCGGGCGGCCAGGGCAACTCGCATAGCATTTGCTGCGCGACTAATAACTAATTCGGCATAACACTTCATTGGCCACAAACGACAGCAAACACGGGGTAAAGATCAGTTCAGAAATGGGAGCCACTTCGCGCTGACGCACCGCCAAATGGCCAAATCGCCAGCAGTGCCCGCGCCGAAGGCCTTCGGAATGCTCGGAACCGGTCGGATTCTTGAGCCGGTATACGACCACAGCGCCGCCGCGTACATCCGGGACCTTTCTACGCTCCTCGTTCGTCGTAGCCTCATCCCACTAGCCTTTTCTAGTATGCGCCGTTTTTTTTCCGCCGCTTGGTGGCGGGTATGTCGACGGGTCATTTCTCGTTTCCGTACTTTCTAAACTGCATTTGTTTCTTTTCTGATCAAAAATAGTGAACAAAAACTACTTTCATACATAATTGAAACGGTTCGCGACACTTTTATTTTGTATCTCGACTAAAAAAAAGCTCTTAGCGGCTTTGACCAGTGGCAAGCCCAGGACCAAAAACGTCACATTTTGCGCGCTTTCGGTACCGCGGGTCGCCCTCGTCGGCGGAGGAGGTTTCCGCGCCGTCCGGTTAAAATATGACGCACTGATATTTAGTTATTCTCTCCGTGCCCGCTGGCTTGCCCGAACCCCAAGAGCCGTGGAAACCGCAAAAAAGGTAGATGCTTAAATATGATTGCAGGGCCCCTTTAACCGTTGTTTGCTGCTCTACCATTCCACTTTCGGCGGCCGCGTCACGTGACTATTTCCCAGGCTTTGTCAATATAGAGGAGGCCATGCCAGAGTCTACACTCGTGGACAACTTTCTGTGGCTTTTCCAGAGGGGAAGAAAGCACGCGTGCAGAGCTTTGATCAGCGCTCAAGCGAGACCTCCATACCTTTGATAAGGTGTTTGCAGCCGCGCTCTGGCGCAGCTTCCGGCGGCCCAGTGGCGCATAAGGCCACAATGTGCCAGCGCCGCTTCGGAAACATAGGTGTTATTATGCCTCACTGGACAGTGAGCGCGTATCCAGTCCAGCCATGACTCTACAATGTTGAGGCATCATATACTTCGTTTAAGCACAACTTGATAAAGGAGAAACGCTACAGCCGCTGTGAACCAATCAGGCCGTACGGAGCAAAACACATGAGAGCTTTCCACGGGAGGAGTTTACGCTGACGGTACATTGGCATGTGCCGCACACTGACGTTCTGAGTGGCTCGGTATGGCCCTAGCTTATGGCGCTTGCCAGCTGGGAGGTATAGCGAGATAAACAGAGAGAGAAAGGGAAATGAGAATGCGCGGGTAGATAAGAGCATTTGTAAAGTATTTACAAATATATTACTAGGGGGAATACAGGACACTCCCCGAGTACATCGAGAAAGACGACAACGTAGAGCCGTGGAAATAGGCGTGACGGCGGCAGCGGTACCGTCTTCGCATCCGCGACCTCATCACCCGCGAAACCGTCATCCGCACCGCACTCCGAAGCGTACCCTGGTCACGTGAACTGGCGGCGAGAGGAGGCGGTGTGGGGGAGAAGGCGTCGCCACATAAACCACTCCACCAAAGGAGGCCTCGGCGCGGCCGTCGTTCTGTCGATGCAAATCAGGAGGTTATTTTGTGGATTGTCGAGCTGTGACGGTAAGGGTTAGTGGGCAGAGGCAAAAGCTACCTGCCTTGTTTCATTGCTTCGGTGAGCGGCGGAGTGGGCACTGGAAATAGAGTTGGTCTTGATGATAAAGCGCCGGCTTTGCAGTATATTAGCGATACAGCATTAATACACGCTGTATCAGTCATATGGTGTTTTTTCACGCCTTTCGCCCTTGTCAGCCTTGGCATGTGTCACTCGAGGTCACCCTCGACAATGCGACGCGCGGTCCGACGTCGAGGTCGCTCACGGAACAGCACGCTCGCCTGCATTCTGCAAGAAAAAGCCCCAAATGTGCGCTCGAAACATGGAAACGGCGTAATGAAGCGAAAAACAAAGGGCGTCCACATCACGAATGGGCAAAGCAAATCGAAAGGCGTGCGTGAACGTAACTAAGAGCCGCCTCGGTGACTCCGAGGCAAAGCGCCGGCCTACGGTGGCGGGTTCGAATCCCGGCCGAGGTGCCCGCAATCTGACGGAGGCTTATTGCGGAGGGAGCACCGTGCAAACCGAGCTCTCGGTTGCACTTCGAAAGGTCTCCGGGTGGTCGAAATTAATCGCCAATTTTCCGCTGGGGCGTGTCAGATGTCCGTCGTTGGTTTGGCACGTAAAGAACCCCCAAATTTGACTTTAACGCAACCGAAGTTAGAAAAGTGCCGTCACCCGCCGCTACAAATTGTTTCCCGCAAACTCAGTAATCTGCGGCCACGTTCGTTCTTTTTCCATTCGTACTATACTACACTCTAAAAAAAAAAAAAAAAAAAAAAATCGCTTTTGAAAGATTTTTTGACACTCCAAGAACTCCTTCAGCTTGTGAAGAATCTGTTTCACCTCAAGCGCTATCGTCCCCTGGTGCACTAGAAAGGCAACTGGGCGATGAAGAACTCTTTTGCCTAAAAAAGGAGCTGAAAAAAACCATTATTATAGCTTTTTAAAAAAAAAAACCTTCTAAGGGTGCCTGGAGTAACTTTTTTAGGATGCAAAATATAGATAAGCCGAAGAACTTCGAAAAGTTTTTTTTTTGTACAATCAGAGTTTTGTTTAGAGTGTAACTTGAAAGCACTCGGTTACTCTGTCGCGGTGCATGCTGACGAAACAATCACCGACACACGCAGCCAGTATACCCTTTTCGAAAGTCACGTGCCGATTATTAGAAGATCAGAACCACTGCACGATGGCGGCACTACTGGCATCGAGGAACATGCAAGTCATTCCAAGAGATAGCAAACGTCAGAGCGCGGCCAACTCTAGGAGCCGATGGGCCAAATAAACAGCGGCGAAAGTACAACGTAACTGCGCTCACCACCTTTCTCTGTTGGTGTGTTTGTGCCTTCTGACCCCAAAAAAACGCATAAAGAGTGCCGTCACGTTGCGGTTTCAGTAAGCCAGTGTGCAGGGATTCCACAGCTGCTAACAGAGTGCAGTCTCTCCAAACGGGTCTATTGCAACCGCCGTACGCGGCTCATACTTTCCATGGCTCGCGCGGCAAATGGGCGCGTCGACACAATCACCAGCATGGTGGTTGCCGACGTTCGGCGTCATCATATGACGTAGGTGCAAGCCATTCATAGAGAGGTCGCACCGCCCCGCGCGACCTCGGAGCAAAAGACGCGCAAAAGAAACACAATCTGGAAGATTCGTTCTGCCACTGCTGCGCTTCCGGATTAACGCGGCACAAAAGCGACATCAGCAGGGCGCGTGGACACAGACACCGAAAGCGAGAGGTCGCGACGGCCCGAGTGCGAGGAGCCTCCGCCACCGGCACACAGATTCACAGCCCGAACGAGCGCGACGTCATGAACCGAGACCCGAAAGACCGGTGAGTACCCGCCCTACAAAATCTGGTACTTCAACTTTACCGCAAAACGCTTGGGAGAGCCAATCATTGTAATCCTCTGAGGCACGTTCTCTCGGGAAAGTTTTGTCAGACGAGAGTGCCGATCAAGCCACTGTCACCGCCAGAGGTACGGGCACATTCGTGAAGAGAAACACAACGTCGAAGGAAACAAAGCTCTCGTCGTCATGCAGTTTTAGGCCCGAAGTAAGCTAAATAAAGTGGCCAACATTTTGCGCGAAGGTGAAAGTCTTCTCGGTGAGTGGGGCTAGCAGCCGGTGAAGATAGTTAGATAGCGCACGTAATGGCGATGTAGTGTAGTCCACAATGGGTTGAAGTGGGACACCGGAATTATGGATCTTTGGTAGGCCGTAGAACGCCGGGGTTGATCCGTTCCGGCATATGAGACTGAGGTACAGGACATTGAACTCAGGATACTTGGAGAAAATCGTTTGAAGTCCCTTGTTCAATGTCGTCTGGATCATGGCAGTCGGGTCCTTTGGGAGAGGCGTATACGCGCTGGCGGATAGGAGCTGAAGGGCTTTCAGCTCGTAGTTAGCGTGGTCCAGCAGCACAGTGGCGTTTCCCTCATTGGCAGGTAGCACAACGATTGTACTATCGTCCCTTAGACTTTGCATCGCTGCCTTTTCTCCTATTGTGTAGTTCTGCTGCTCCCGTCGGTGAGCCGTAGATAGCACGCCGATAGCCTTTAGGCGATCTTCTTCGTGGGTGCAGGGGTCATATTCGTGTAAGCCATACTCGACGGCAACTGCGATCGTCGCTATAGGAGGCTTAGTCGTAGTCAGGTTGAACGTTCTTCTTTTCGTGAGGATACTACTTTCGAGGGCAAAAAATGATCTCGAGAAAAAAAAAAAAAAAAAACGAACCTCTTGTCGTTTTTGTGGGAGCCGGTGGTGGACGCTTGAAGAGATGCCAGTTTCTTCTGGTGGTCCGATCCTTTTCTCTCGGAGGATGACGCGGAAACCGATTCGGCGAAGTCATCGATGGCCGGAAATGAATCCGGTGCACGATAGTTCAATTGTCTCTGTAGAAAGAAGAGATCCAGGTCCCTCGTCTGGAGGTTCTCGCGGTATTCTTGAATTTTTGCATCAAACAGGCAACGTTCGGCTTGCTCGACGACCCTATGGCCCTCGGCAGTGTCGACCAGACGTATCAGGCGCAGGTTCTTCGGTATTACCCGCCTTTCTTTGCAGGCCTTGTTGAAAGTAAGGTGGGCTTTAAGGCGCAACCCCACCCTTGGTTAGTGTGATTCTGAACCAACAGATGGCGATGGGATCGCCTTTAAGACCTGTACATCAATGCAAAAAATCTTGTGTGGTGGCGCTTCGATACACTCTGGTATTTTTCTATCTTCTGAAATTGACAACACTGGTGGTTTGCTTGTTTTTCTCTGCGCGAGCTTTCTGTGGAACGCGTACGGCTGCGCCAGTTCTCGTGCAAGGGGGCCAGTAGCCTACGCTCCGAGTTCAAGTCTCCAGCAAATGTGGTCAGCACAAAACGAGCGAATGGCGAGAGACGTACACGACAAAACCACCGACACGTGTAAATATACAAGATTGCTTGTGCGAAATTAATACACCGGGTATTTCGGAGGCAAATTACAGATATTTCAATGGGATCAAATTTATATGACGGGCCGGCCCTTTTGTCGTGCATGTGTTAGGCTGCTTATGAATTTTCAGAAAAACGTGATGACGTGATAGACACGGGGTTCCAAAATATTCGATTGAGGAATTAAATACCAAATAAATCAAAATAAAGAAAATAATTATTTTTTGGTCAAGTGTCTCATTTAGGTAACTTGATGTTTATTTTGACCAAAACCACATGACATTAAAAAAAAAAAACACTCAGGTGTAGAAACTGAGTTTGGTAAACCCAGAGTAGGACTGGGTGCGGGAGTAATAATAAAGTAATGCCAAGGTTGAAAATTCACCCACAGCCTTAAATGATAAGAATTAATTTTAATACGACTACAGTGATAATTCAGATTATGGGTCTGTGGATATCTTTTGCACAGAGTTTAAGGAATGTAACAGAATTAAAAAGAGAGCGAAAAGACGAGGACCAGTCGAAGAAGTAACACGGATGCAGCGCTGCGCCCGTGTTACTTCTTAGCCTGGTCCTCGCCTTTTCGCTCTCTTTTTAATTCCGAAGTTTATACCCACTCGCCCAAGCCTCAACCTTAATGTAACAGTCTTAATTTGGTGATTTTTTCGCGCGAGCAGCGGTGTGCAAAAATTTAAAAAATGCAAAGGGTGAAGTGTGTCGTTGTGTAATATATGGTGTCAGTGCGAACATCGGACGCTGATTTGAAACTGAAACAGCTCTACATTTTACACTACCTTTGAGCGTATCGAAAGCAGATTTGCGCTCGTTACTCCAAAAATGTAATGGATTACAATTAGAAATGACCGAACCTCAAATGTAATAGATTACCGTTACAAATTATTTTCGCTGAAAAGTAACGGATTACTTTACTCGTCACGTTACAAATTACTTTCATGTTACCTTTCCCGTACACTTATCCATAAAACAATAAAGACAATTTCGATACTTTTCAAAATGTTCTGCAACGCTAATTTTCACTTCTAATACGCCCGTATAATTGTAGTCCTTGTAAAATTAAATATTGTATTTCAGAGAAAGAGTGTAGGTGCAGTCCGTTCACCTGTAAGCTGACAAGGCACCGAAAGCTGCTGACACACCCGCTAGCTTATGGCCTCCGGAAATGATGCCTGGAATTGTGCACACAAAGCTAGCGGTGCGTATACTCAGTAGCAGCGTCTACACTCTTGAGGCCCGTTCACACTCTTGTGACCGAGTAAGACCAAGAGAGACCAGACCGGTTTTTAAGCCTCTTGCGATCTCTTAGGACCAGCGCCGCTACAGCGCATCCGGTCCTAAGAAGTCGCAAAAGGCTTTAAAACCAGTCTGGTCTCTCTTGGTCTTGCTCGGTCAGAAGAGTGTGAACTGCGTTACACATTTTCTCTGTGGAACTTCCACGTGTTCTGTGCGGATCAAAAAATTTATGGGGAACGCCGGTTTTCTTCGCTTCGTTTTTCTTTTTTTTTTTTTTTAAGTGGAACACGCAAGTCTTTTGCGGATCAGGAAGTCGTTTCACTTGCCCTGCTGCACTTTTGCGCCAACTTGTTCCAGTTAAGATCTCGAGAAAGTGTTTTTTTTTTTCTTTTTTACTTTTGTCGCGTTCTAGTTAGAATCCTTCGGCGGCAAATTCGCGCAGACCGAGTAAAAACGAGGCAAGTAAACCAATAACAAATGCTCACCAACGGAGGCGTCCAGCGTTCAGAGAGGCGCCAGCAAGAGCAGCAAAACCCATACACAAAAAAAAGGGAACTTCATAACCACGTTGTCCCTACGACTACGAAAATAGTTCCAGTGAAGGCCCTTGTTTTATTTAGGGGTTCCTGTGGTATAGTTCGAGCAGTTGGAGTGTTTTGTAAGCGGGCATCGCGCATTGTTACAGACTGAGGAACGTGTTGCAGCGTGCAGTGCGTCCGGGCTCCCGCGCGCCGACAGTTGCGGCGGTTGCGGTCGTTCCGTTTTGCTGTTGCGATGTCACCACGTCTAGCGAATCTGCCGAATTCGCATTTTTGCCAGGCGACTACGGTGCATGATGCGTTTGTGCTGTTCGACGTTGAGTATTTCTTACAGCTTCACTTGTGATTGTGCTGCGTGATCTCAGTGATCTCGGATTACATGATCTGAGTTCTATGTTCTCATCGTAAGCACCCGCTTTACCCGCATGAACCTTATGGCGACGGACGTTTCCTTTGTTCCTGTCGGTTTTTGTCTACAATCACCGTGGTGCTTAAACCGCCGCTGGTATGGTTATTCGCATTATGGTTTTTATTTGAGGCGTGAAGAGTTCAAGCGTGTTTAGCAGTTTTATTCGCGTTCAACAGAGCAGTTTCATTTTGGCGCATTTTTTCGCGGATTAGGTTAGGTGTTGTATATAACCGTATAATAAACTTGTGGATAATGTAAATCACTGTGTTCCTCTTTTTTGTCATTTTACTCTTGATTCCTATACTTTTAGTTGGCACGATCATATTAACTACGTAGTTGGAAAAGCCAGTCGTTTCTTGCGATTCATCAGACGGAAGTTGTATTTAGCTCCCCTGAAACTCGTTTACTAGCTTTTAAGTCCTTTGTCATATCTCAGCTTGAATACGCCAGCATCATATGGTCTCCCCACCAGGATTACCTAATTGCAAAAATAGAAAAAATTCAGAACAAAGCCGCGCGCTTCATATATAGTGACTATTCACCTTACACGAGCGTTTCAGCGCTGAAACAAAGGGCAAACTTACCCTTATGAGACGCCAGGCGCAAAGTCTCTCGTCTGGCGTTCATCGACATTATTTATTACTTTGATATTAACCTTAAGCAACGCTTATTGCCTCCCCCTCATCGCATCTTTCCCAGACATGATCATCCTCACAAAATTCGCTTATCAAATTGTCGCACGAACCGATTTCGCAACTCGCCATTACAGCTTGCCATTACAGAATGGAACTCATTGCGCCAACACGTTGTAAATATAACTGATAAAAATGAATTCAAATGTACATGTGAACGCTTGTTCCACTTTTCCCCGGAATGAGTCATAGGATGGTGTCCTTTTTGTTTTTTTATGTGGAAAGATAGTTTAATTTATTTTCCTGTAGCCTGGTTGGCACGATGCTCCCTGTTCGTGTACGGGTGTTCTTCTCTTGAGTGGGTATATTATGTTATTTTTGTTGTGTACTAGTGTACTTTTTCTTTAGTGGGTATATTTGCATTGTTTCTTGCCTTTAAGCAAATATGTACGAAATTTATTGTTTTAATATTTTTGTCAAAACGTGTACTTCCCCCTCATAGAATGCCCGAAAGGGCGCTTTGAGGTATATTAAATAAACAATCAAATTTCAAAGCGTGCAAAAAAAAAAAAAAAAATAAAT